TAACAAAAGTAACAACATAAGATCTAATAAGCAAAAAGTAACACTTTTGTTACGAACGTAACACCTCTGGCTAGAGGCGGGAAAATGATGCGTTGTGAAAAAAAAGTCGCGCTAATCAAAACTGGCACCGCGTAGATTAAGGGTAGGTTGTCAATTTTTTTTCCGCGTTAATCAAAACCGCGGTATTCAAAACTGTGCTAATCAAGGGATTGCTGTATTAAGTAAGTAATGTTGACTAGTTGTTTAAAATAGGGTTCATGAGAAAATGCAGTAGTATTGAATGCAATGAATCAAAGAATCATAATAAATCAAGAACCAATGCCTTATTTAAGAAAAACACAAGTTAATTAAAATGCAGACAAAACATATATATACAAGGGGGGAACATTCACTAACCAGCATGGCTAAGCAAGAGTGGTCAGGACTGTCAGACCGCTCTGTTACACAGCTGAGTATCATTCATTGGGCTCAGCTTAAAGTTAATGAATATCTGTAACAGAGACTAAAACAGAAGAGGACAAAGACATTGAGGTGAGGTAAAGGCAAGGCCGGAGGCAAATAACATGGATAAATAAGCACAGATAGGCTGTGCTACGCAAGCCACAATAGCCTCCTGGCAACAACGTCATACAGCAATTATTTTTAGAAACATTTTGTGGGCCATTCTAGTTTTGAAATTTGCTTAATTTCTTGTTAAATTTTATAAAATTTAATAATTAAAACATGTTATTGTTAAATATCATCAAATAAAATTGTTGGGCTGTAATTATATTCTATATCAATTTTCTCTTATGGCTGTAACTCATGGAAAACATTCCACTGATTATGATTACACAAACACAAATTATGAAAATTATGACTCAGCACCTTTGTTATGGCAAATGAGTTATCCCGCATGAAAATGGCTCCAAAAATGTATTGATTTTTAAATTTTTTTGCTGCTGCAAAATTGAGAAACTTGCCACTTTGAAACACTACCGTCAAACAGGGTTGGCAATAATTAAATCAAAATGATTAAATCATGTGATTAAATCACTTGATTTTTTTTATAAAAAATCATGATTTTTTAATTTTTTTTTACTTTTTTGATTTTTTATATATATAAACATATTGAGTGGCAGTCTTTAATTTATTTTGAGGTATTGTTATTCATGGTTTAGTGTGAATTTACTATGAATGACAAATTGTTATATAAACTTGTTGCCTTTAGTGTGTATTAGGTTCCAATAAATTGAATGTTTTTGGTACAGAGGCATCAAGTGTTGCAATACCTTGTACATAGCTAGCTGCTTAGCCAATTCTTATAAGGCAATAAGTAGTCTTTAACTATTTGACTATATGTTATATATTGATTACAATATACAATTTAAATGTGTTAGCTAGCTTATACAGGGTGGGGGCAGAAACGTTTGAGCAGTTTTGAGGCAAAATAAAAGAGTAATGGAGGTAACATACCATTTAAAATACTTATGTTTTGAAAACAATATCAGGAAAATGGTGTCTGTTAGCTGCATCACACTGTTGGAGTTGTTCTTGGAGTTTCATACAGCACGTTCACACATATGGTGAGGTATGGCCATAACCTCTGCTGCAATAATCCATCCCCTTAGCTGTGGTAGGGTGTGAAGGCGACTTCTGAACACCCTCTCTTTTAGATGTCCCCAAGGAAAGAATTCGCAAATGCTCAAATGAGGTGACCTTGTAGGCCACTGTAAATCACCCCTCAGAGACACCAGACGTCCGGGAAACATGTGTTTCAAAACATTGGGTGACATACAGGCTGTGGGAGCTGTAGCCCCATCCTGCTGGAACCACAAGTCTCCCAATGCTCAGCATAGTGATCGGAATTCACTGTCATGGTTACTCCATCCTCCGAGAACAACTCCAACAGTGTGTTGCAGCTAACGGCCACCATCTTCCTAATATTGTTTTTAAAACATAAGTATTCTAAATGGTATGCTATGCTAACCTCTAAGAAAATAAACTTTCTTTTTTATCTACCTCCATTACTCTTTTATTTTGCCTCAAAACTGCTCAATCAGTTCTGCCCCACCCAGTATATTGAGAGGTTGAGATTGTATTGACCCTTTAGGCAATTAGGAAGATTTTTCACCCTAATAAGAGTATTCTAATTAAAATATTTAAGGTGGTGCTTGAAAGCCGCGAGCTCTCAGGCAGGCTTGGCTGAATCCCTATGGGAATCTATCACTACGTATATATAGTCATTATAACTCCGCTCGTAAATGAAATATCAATCTGAATTTTTTCATGCTCATTCAACTATTTATTTACAATTTCCCGACAGTTACAAAATATATGTAAATTTTTTATAACATCAGTTATGATAGAGTAAAATAATAGAGTAAAATAGAGTAAAATACTTGCGAGAGATGCGACTTACCTAAATTTTTGAGACATGAGGAAGTAGTACTATTTATTCTCTTTTGATCGGTATTAAAGTCATATTTGAATCACCCTCTATTTTGTAGAAATTAGCTAACAAAATACTTTTTCATCACTCCTGANTGTATTATGTAAATTTTATCTGCATTGAGCTGACTCTAAATTGCATTGAATGTTCATACAAAATTTTTTTCCAGCAATGAATGGCTCATGGTCTATGATCAATTAATGGACAGCAATGTTGCAAGCTGGACATCAGCTCATCAAACTCTTTCTTCTTGGGTTTCATGGTAAGAAAATGTATTTGTTCTATTGATTTAATATGTTCTAGATTTTGTTCTGTAATTTGAACTTGACAGTTAAGAAATTAGTTGAGGGTGCCAGGCAAATATACAGGTTTTTTCTTACCTAGTTTTGATTTATCACTGACTTTTGATGCAGCTGAAAAAAATGTTTTGCCATATTAAAAAAAAAATGAAAAAATGATTGAAAATATGACCAAATGATAAAAACCAATAATTTTGCAAGAAGTATAGGAAGAGTGCTTGTTTCCTTCACTGACAATGTCATCCACATGAAGGAAGATTCCTTTGCCATTCATAAAGTATATATTCTTACCATGTTCCTGCTATCTTTCTTCTTCCACATGCTCTCTAAGTATAGTATTACACTATTATTACAGTATATATGCTCCCTATGACAAACCTAAACCTATGCCAAACTCTTTGTATATTCTCTCATCCTCCTTACAATTTCTCATCTTTCTATTTTTAAAGCTCCATCATTACTCCATCTCTCTGTTATATATATATATATATATATTTGTACCTCACATTCAACTCTCAGATGCAAAGTTTCATTTAAATTGCCTTCTTTGCATAGAGTACTCAATACTCATTTCTCTTCTAAATCCACCTGTTTTTACAACTATTCTAACTCAGTGCCCCTGCCCTCACATAAGATGGTAAGCTCCCCAAGTCTGTTACCATCTTCCATACCTTTATACTGTAGCATTGCTTTCACTACCAGGAGTAGATAGCACTTACAGTAATTTTGATTAGTAGGGGTAGATACAGAGGCGACTATGAAATGTAATACCTATTGCAGTTTTGTTAAAGGGATTATTAATAGTACCACAAAGAAAGTGAAATTCATTGCATACTTTGTTGCTGGTAACTTGTTTTTGCAACACTTCTCTTTAACTTCACTTCTTGTTTGTTTGTCTGTCTGCTACAAATCTTATCATCAATATTTAACACACTTCTACTTTTCCCCTCGATCTGAAATTTTACACACATGCCTAAAGTTGAAGACAATGCGTGAATCAATGGACAGAATATATAATTTGAAAATATTTTTTTTTAAATTGAAAAAAATAATTTTGTCTTCTACATATCTTATACAGTAATCAATATTCAACACACTTCAACTTGTGCAATTGAGCTGAAATTTTCCACACTTGCTTAAAGTTGGAGGCAATGCATGAATCAATTGACTGAATAAGTAATTTTGAAAAATTTAATTTTTTAATTTTGAAAATAGAATTTAAAAATTAATTTTTGTATTATTTGATGATAAAATTAAAAATTCGTTGTACATGTGTAACATCAGAGAAACTTGATTCTTAAGAAATGTTGTCTTTAAAAAGTAATTTTTAAATGCATATTATTAAAATGAGAGATAGGTTACTTAGTGTGCCTGCTGGTCATCATATGCAGGTTTTATAGAACTAGGGAACAGAACCATGGTTTCCACCTCCCCTACAATCATCCTACACATATTTTTGTTTTATGAAACTATTTTTTATTTGAAGAATCGATACAAGAAACCTTGTATACAGAGAAAATAAAAGGCTGAGGAGCATATGCTCTACTTAAATTTGAGAAATTAAAATTTAGTTTCCTAGAATATAATAAGTTATTTGTTTAATGAAGCTTCCTCTTTGCATATATATAGATAGGTACTACATTGGAGAAAATATCTAAAATAATATTTTTTACCAATAACCATGTAATAGGCTATCCGTATAAAATACCTAAGCATTTTTTAACAACAATATTATATTGTTAAATGTAATTATGAGCAAGTTTTTGAAATCTTCCATAACACTGCATACATAGTTGCAATAAAATATAAGAATCGGGTGCAATCTGTCTCAAGAAATTTTTCTGCTTCTATCATATTATAAATTGAGACTAATTTGTAATTAAAATGTAACCAAGTTAATTTGTTTTTTTTTGGTCATCTCAGCACAGATAGGACTCCAGAACATGTTTATGCAACATTGCCAGTGCTTGCTGCTCGCTGCACCCTACAATCAACTGAGCTGTGCTCAGCTCCAGGTGCCTCCACTCACTTGAATCTTCCTGGTCCAATAACATCAGGCAGCCTCATCTGCTTGGTGGTCAACAATGCAGTCATTGAGTAAGTAGTCAAATGTATGCTCTCAGTAAATCTCCTATATTTAACATTTAATTGTGTTCTCTTCTACAAGATTTCATTCAGAAAGGTATTAATTTTTCGTATTAATGAGGGATTTGGTTCTGAAAAGTGGATGAAGATGAAATTTTGTGAGCTCAGCTCTAATATGCATAGTAATTCTGTAGTTTATTAATGAAAATTTGATTTTATTTCACTGCTAAGTATTGACAAAATCTATCCTTAGATTCATCAACATATTTGTCAAGGGTGTAGAGAGCATATCACTCTCCAATGGCCGCCTAGACAGCTTGCAGCAGATGGCTTCAGAGGCTGGACTGCCTCCTGATCTCATCCCCCTCCGTAACAGTCTTGTTCACAGCACTGATCACTTTGACACCAGCACTTACTTGCTCCACTCTCAGGTGGTTGACATCATGTGGAATTATCTCAAGGTTTGCATCGTCTATTACTTTGGCTTCTTTGTGAATGAATCTCAAAATTGATTCTACAATTAAATTATGCAAAATGCTGATGAATGAACATTTTCTCATGAAAATCTATTTGAATGTCAAATCACCCATTCTATGTGGAAATGTTTTTGTCTAAACCCTTGAATAGATTATTTATGTGAGACTGCTTGAAGGCCTAACCAATGTGTTGACTGATCAACAGGAGAAATACTGGGATGTTGAGTACCTGGTGTTACAGCGTCGCTGTGAACTCCTTGCCAGTGTAGAGAATGACGGCTCCGTCATCGAAGGAACATCTTCTCAACTCACATCCATTGTACAAACTATTCTAGCCACGGTCCAGTCCCAAAACTCAAACAAGAAAGTGCTTTCCAATGCTCCTGTTTTATTCAGGGTGAGACAACCCCTTTAATTCTGAAGACATTTTTTTTACCATTTTTGAGGCACTTGCTACAAATTAGGTATGATTCTTTTCAGCCTAAATTACTAAAATCCCTTATTCATTTTGATTATGAATATATTTGTATGAATATATTTGTTTTGAACATGATTGAATTGGTTGAGTTTAATTTATCAATAATTTAGTTCCTATGAGTGTAGCTCCAGAATTTGAGCAATTTAATTTGTTTAGCAGTAGGTAGTAAATTGGCTGCAAGTTTTCAGACGCCTCAGGACGTTTACTTTACTCGGCAGTCATTGAAGGAAGCGCTGTTGGAGAGCCTCAATAACATTGAGGTGTTCATTATGGAAGGCCAGGTGTTGGACTATGATGGGCGTGTACAGAACGTTTTGAAAATATTAGTTGAAGACTTCTTACTTGCACCTTCCTTCGGCCAGTTCATTCTCAAAGAACAAGGTTAGTGGAATTGTATACTAAAGCGCACAGTTACTTTGTTAGTTCATTAATTAAACCCGATAAAATTTGCATTTGGTATTGATTTCTGAAGCACAGTTCTTTAATTTTATTTGAATTGGAAGCTCATGGGAATGACAAGTCACTAAAGTTACCTCATAGTATTCATATTTTCTATAAATTGATTGCACGTATTTTAGCGTCGTGCAGTTGTGGGTCACGCATCGATCTGAGTCGGGTGCTCCTGAAGAAGTTGCTGGTTGGAATCCTAACTAAAGCTCCTGAACGTAGAGTTCCAAAACTCGTCGGCTTGCGCACCAACATCAAACCCAGCAAAGCTGAACACTACCGTCAAAACGTTGGCTGCGCCAACCACGTTTTTGCAATCTTACTGGAACACATTAACTCAGGTTCGTTGTGATTAGTGAGGCAAAAAGTTTTTAAATACTACAAAACACCTTTGCCGGTTTAATTTACTTATTATCATTATTTTTTCTTTATCTTCCATTCGGCGTCATGATTTTCCATTACTATATTGCAAAATATGTGAATAAAGAGACATCAGATAAAGTGAAAATGTTAGTATGTTCTGGGCTTTACTAAAGTGAACATTCGAATGAGATTCAGATTTTGGGGTGTACTATTAAGCATTTTGATTGCAATTCCTCTTAATAGGCTGCACTCCTGGAAACAAAATTACTGTACTAACTTATGTGCTGCATTAATGCTGTTTAACTTTTTTCCATGGACACCCCTATCCCCTAATAATGAGTATAACTGCTAGAGCCTTTATTCTTTATTCTATATTCTTGATATTTGCAGCACCTGTAGTTACACAATCGCATGAGTTTGGACGATATCGAGTTGGATAGACTTTCAGTTAAATCCGTATTGGAATTTGAATTTGTTTCATTTCGGTTGATCTAAAATTGTAAATGATTTGAAATGCAATTGAAAATTCAAAATAATTTGAAATTTAAACTACTTTTGGTGCAGATTTTTTTTTAACCGATCTGCTTTTTATCATGCAGGAAGTGACTGCAGTTCCCTGGCGCTTGAGTGGTTCAAGCTTTTATTGAGTAACTGTGCTCCATACGAGTTTCCCGACTCGTCTTCATGCCTGAAGTGTGGCGAGCATAACCTGTTCTTGAGCGACGTGAAGGTGGCCAGCGTGAAGGAGCCCCAGACTGGCTGTTCCCTGAGAGGCAAAGCTGTGCCCAATGTCCTCTGGAGCTCCCTCATCTCGGTCATGCTTACTGGCAGTAATGAGCAGCTCGTTCAAGAGGCGGCCAGGTAATTATATTCCACTTCGTTCCCTTAGGACTTGCTATTAATGCATATGCCTGTTGCATCCCTGTTTTGATAGCTTAACTAGCTATAATTGTAAGTGTATTAATGTACCGTAATTATCTCATCATTTACCCGCGAATCTTGACTCATATCAAACAACGGGTTTAATAGGACTACAGAATATAGGTAAATAATTAAATTTCCATAAATATAAACATGCTTCTTGATTGCATTCATGGTATGATGAGATATTTCGGGGTAGACTGAATGAAATGTGGGAATCAGAACAAAATATCTTGTAATTATATGAACACGCTGCTCCCCCAGGCTGGTTGAGGCTTGCATCTCAGCAATGCAGGACTCCGAGGTCCGCTGCCTAGGACGAGCTGTGCGAGAAGAACAGGATCAACTCCGAATTTTGGAGCAGCAGATAAACTCTGGCTTGACCCAGGGGGTGAGTCAGTATTATAAAAATGCATATACTGTGTGTACAAGTAAGCCGACGGCGCACAGCTAGTTGGAGGACCAAGTCTGATGGTTGGTTGGGAGGAAGACTTATGATTTGAAGGACTAAGTCTGATGGCGATAAAATTGATGCTGACGCGACATTACCTGTATTATTTTTCGTAGGCACGTTAAGATTCGAATGAGAGTTGTGAACATCAACTCTACACATTGTCTCCTGATCTTTCATTGCTCCATCTTTTAGCTCGTTCTTATTTTATTTATTTTTTGTTAAGACACTATTACTCATACTTAATGTCTTACCATGTATTATCTTTGTTAAAATTTCGATTATTATTTTTATATTTTTGTAATGATCGAATCACAGGAAGCTGAATACAGGCTGTGGAGTGCAAGCCATCCGCCCACACATCCTCAAGCGAAGAAAGCAGGCTTCCTGAGGCTCATAGATCGAACGAGGCAACAGCTTCACTACAAAGACGAGGCCTTGCACGTTATAGGTCAGTCATTAGATCCTATATCTTAACATTTCTTCTGCTGACGGTAACTCACGTTACCAGAAATTCAAGATAAAAATAATAGGTGCGTTATGCGTCCATAGACAATGGGTAAACAAAAATATAATTAAAATGAAGAATTTTTACTGTATTTTATTTTTAATTTTTTCACGCTCAAGTACTTTGTTGTCAAGGTACAAAATCCCCGTTTTTTTTAGTATTGACATCTTAATCAGTTCCAGCTTCTTGTTGCTGTACACTCAATTGTGAACAAAATTTACAAAAAGTTTTGCATTACAACTTATAACCAATGTATAGTTATGTTTTTTTTTTTTGTACAGGTAGCCGATTCGCTTGTGTTCCTCTAGGAGACCTTATAATTAAGCCAGAAAACGATCGACCCTTGAGTTGCAAAACTGCCTCGCTGATGGATGTTGTAACGTCTTCTGATGGTCTGAAAACCCTGGCAGCTGCAGACGGTAATCCAGATGAGGACATCGTGCCTTTGAACCAAGCGGCTAATGAACGAAAGAGAAAATTTAACAGAGACGAGTCGCCCTCCGCTGGAAATACTTCCTCTTGTATCACGAAGAACAAAAAGACAGTTCTAAATTCTTCCCTGTTCAATACACAGACGAAGGTTGTTAACCAAAGAAACAAGCGAAAGAGAGAACGAAAGAAAGAAATAAACGAAAGAAGAAACGGTAATAAAAAGTAAACCTTGATTGTTCATTCATTTTCCTTTTGCTAATTTTTTGATATCCTAGCACACGTATGCTTAGTATATGCGTGAATGATAAGTTCTTCCATGTTTCGGCTGAACTCTTTAAGAGAGGTTCCAATGTATGTAAAATTAGGGAGTTATTTTTAAGTGCAGCTAGCTTGCGGGACGCATCATAGGCTTCATCTGAAGTGTCATTAAGATTGCGAGCGTTGTTAGTCCCTGCCAATTAGGCAGAAATTTAGAACTCGTCCCTCGAGCCTCGTTTAGTCGTGAAAGACGTCGCTGTCCGCTAATTGCTGGCCATCGCGTTCGACAGCTATTATATTTTATTGCTCACGTGGCTCGCTATGAATGCCTTGCGCTCGAATCATCAAACAATTCAATTAATCCTTATTAACTACATGTGCCTCGTAGCAGCTTTCGATATTTGATTTTATCATTAAAAATAATCCTGAAGTATATTGATACCGAAATCATTAAATGCTTACTAAAGCACTTCTTGGTCGTTCAATGGTTGCTATTTTTTCTCCACTCAGCGTGTGAAAAAAAAAAACGAACGAAGCGTGTCATTGTAAGTGCTTGAAAGAAGTGACTTTAAATTTAATACATTTACATTAGGTAGACATTACTTTTTTTTAATCTTTGGGAAACGTCTTGTGCAACTATTGGATAGTGTAGTGGTGCCAGCTTTGATTAAGTCTTAACTCGTAACAAGAATTGGCGACGGGCCTATACCGGGCTACCATTCAACGCCGGAGATGCTATGCTATGACTCTTAACCACCTTGCCAGTTTCGAAGCACTTTCACAGCCAGTTACGGGTTTTTAACCTTCGACTCGCTGCTTGAATTTTGATGACCGTAACCACTCTGCCACCAAAAACAAACGAGTTACCCAATTGACATACATTGAACGAGTGCTACAGAAACATTCCAAATATACACTTCCAATGCATTCTTGCGCTTTAAGCATAAAAATAGTAGGAAGTATCAAATAAATAAATTCCGTGAAAAACATTTTAGCCAGTGGCGTCATTCATTATGCCTATGTTCGGGGGCTTAACTACTAAAATATTCTTATGCCCCTAAATAAGTAAATGTTCAATAATTAAAATTTGTATTATTTAAAAAATCTACCAATTCAATATAATATGAACTGAATATATTGTCATTTTTGTTAGCATTCAATACATCTCGGTTTGTGGTTGTACTGTACTAAAAATGTAGTTAGCTGTTTGTGCCATTACAAGTCTCACATCAGCTGGGCATTTATCATATCATAGTGATGTCGGCGCTCATGTATAGGCCAGCAATGGCCTGTCGCCGATTCTTGTATTTTTCGTGACTTGTCCACAGATCTAAAAACAGGTCATTCGACCGGATATTTTCGTAACTGTCGATGGTTTGAAATTGCTACTAGACTTCCACCAGGTTCGATATGGTGCTAGGCATTTCAAGTTTGAACATATATTTCTACGTGGTTTCATCTAGTCTGTTCTTGAACGCGTTCACACTTGGAGCGTCAACGATGTAAACGGGAAGTCTACGTCTCGAACAATTTTACGGCCGGACGCGGCCGGTCTCCAAATTCACTGATCACCGAATATCTCCCAAAATAGTGAACGCAGCTCGATGAAACTTGGTACACTTATTCATTAGGGCATAATGGTAATGTTTAGCTCGTGAAAATTGTCCAAATTTCGCCTTCATTCGCGAGTTATATGGCGGTACATGCCGAAATTCGCAGTGATCAAGGAATTTCTTCCAAACTACAGAACATATGTGAACGAAATTTTGAATATACACACCTAAATATCAAACGGCGATGTTAAGCTTGTGAAAATTTTTTCGATTTGCCTTCGTTCGCGAGTTTTTTTCATTTCACTTTCATTATGGAAAGATCGGTCAGTTATGGAAAGATCGGGTTCCAAAGGCCGGATCCCATAGAATCAAGTCACGAAAAATTCAAGAATCGGCAACAGGCCATGGGCCTATTTCTTCAGTGCCGACACTTCTATTATATTCTATGAACAAGAATCGGCAACAGGCCATGGGCCTATTTCTTCAGTGCCGACACTTCTATTCTATTCTATTCCTGACTTAAATAGTAATACGTGCTTAAATTCGCAGTGATCAAGAATTTTCGTCTAAACTACTGAACAGATTTGAACGAAGTTTTGTAAATAAAATACCTGACCTCCCAACGGTGTTGTTTAGCTCGTGACAATTTTTTCGATTTTGCCTTTCTTTGCGAGTAATACGGTTATATGTATACGGCTCTTGGTCAATGGCAATTTAAAGCTTCAAAAAATGCCAGTCGTTTTTCCGTATATCCGAGTCCGGCCGTAAATTTGTCCGAGACGTGAGGCTGTTCCACATGTCGGTTTACTCGAAGCGAGAAGAAGAATAATATTGTCGTGAGGATGAGTTGCAACGCAGTTTTTTTTACTTTATAGCCGTGGCCCCTGGTGCTGGTTCTTGTTTCAAATTCTAGTAATCCTTCTGGGACCTTATAAAAAACATGACTATACTTTTCACTAATTTGGAGGATTAGCCCCTTACCCTGTCCATAAAACCTACTAGTGATGCCCCTTTTCCTAGCTCCGCGAAATCATTTATGTATATAACTGAAAATTAATTTGTCTTTTAGAAGAAAATTAATATCCATGGTTGGACTATATACTAGTTCAACCATGATTAAGATCATTGCCGATTGGCGGCACGGAGTTAAGATCCGTGAAATTCCGTGTGCACAGCCGAAGACTCGTCACAGCTCAGACCTCAGTTGTTGCGCGGATGCGGTAGTGGTGTGGTGCGTGTAACGCTGGGCCACTGTAGCGATGTTGCCGGTAATTGTTGGCAATGCGTGTAGTTCAGATCTACGATGTAAATCGTGACGTGTCTTAATTGTGCTTTATTTCAGTCTTTAATATAATATGTCTTTTAAGGTCAAGACAATTGCCCAAAGATTCATGTGCCAAAATTTTAAATAAAATCCTGCAGACCATGCGCTGTAAAATATTGAATAAGTTTGCAACCATTACCGTACTTAATTCTTTTGTTCTGTAATTCCAATTATAAAGACTTGAATTCAATTCCCAAGTCTCTTGAACTGCTTGAATACGTGATATCTTTATAATATGTTTTGTTTGCTAGTAATGTGTTTAGCATAGTTTCCCGCATATTCAGGGATCTAAAGTTGCAAGTTGATCGAATCATGCATATCATGCAAAAAGTTGATCGAATCGCAAACCTGACTGATTCTGTTCTGATTTGGCAGATTGGCATCTTGTAACAATTTTATTGTAATCAGTGGTGTTGATCTTAAAATAGTATTTGAATGGCTCTATTTTGAATTGCAACACTAATTTACTTGACTACACTTATGCCGTGCGTTGTACGACGGGTTAGTTTGGGACACGATTGTTAGAGTCGGCAATGGAAAAAAGTAGATTGCCTTTTGTACAAGATTTGCTTCTCAAATTTGTTCATATAAGTTGCGGTTCAAATTTGTTCAATATGTTCTCGGAAATGCCGAATTGTTGCGGGCACATAAGTTTCACTGAACTAGATCTACTTTAGTTAGTTATTTTTAAACTTTACGCCAAGCCACAATGCTGGAACGTAATATTTTGCGATGTAAAAAATATTTCGGGCGTTTGAAATATTTTATGCCAAATTATTCAGAAATACCATTTTGTTAATTATAATTGATGAGGAACTTTCTCTGTTCTACGGCGTACACCTTATTCATCAATATTCATCTGCGGATCTTTCAGCAGAAACGTGAATAACTAAACAATCCAATCACCTGACCGTTATTTTAATTAGGAAACTCATTTATCAGTAATACCCTCGTTCATCTATACAATATATTGTTTTATCAGTAGTGACCTGTATTAGGAGATACAGTTCATGTAGCGAGTGCTCGTCCCATCCAGCGAGAGCGGCTGGAGATAAGCAATGCCCCGACCGCGCGCAGGCGCCGGCGCGTCCCAGGCTGCCGTCTGAGAGCAGCGCTCGTCGCCTCCTTCTATGCCAAATAATTCAAGCAGAAATGCTCGTAAATATTCACGTAAATAAAATGTAACCACATAGTATAATCTACTAATATACAGATATAATAAAGTTTGAAATTAATAAATAACATTCGTTTATATAAATGAATAAATTAAAAATGCTATCGAATGAAAATCCTATGGAATGAAAATCGAATGAGTAACATATATTTTACCGGCGAGGTATAATAATTTATGAATGACCGGAATTTTCTTCGATTATTTACGTGAGGATCGTGAATTTATGATCTCTTACGGTATTCCCCTATTCATCATCTTCTGATCTAACATAATCAAGACCTTCATGAGTTTTATCAAAGGAGTGGCACTTGACTTGCGCATCAGACATATCGATGCTCTGACCATTACTATCAAGCTCTCAAGGATTGTCGTCTTGCTACTAGACAATCGTATGCTCGCGAATATTTATTCGCGTCTTCTTTATTATAAATTCACAGAATTCATTGCGTGTAGAAGAAAAATTGCACGCAAATTTTTGAGGTTGGCGTACTTATCAATTCGATTCACTGGTTATTTTCCAGTGGCAGGCTCATTATTTCATTGAATAATCCAAGTAATTATACCCGCTGTGATAAACATTAATTATTGGCGGAAGTCAACCTGTTGCTTCAAAATACATCATTTTACTGCATGATTTTCCTACTTATTCCTTATTGGCATCCAGTACCACCCATTCCAAGAATTTGTTAAATGTTCTATAGATACGCTAGGTAATCATCATTCCCGTCCTACATTATTGAGCTTTACGCACCTGTGCTCCTCTTTTCTGCATCGTCGTTTTCATTGCACAGCCTCTCCTGCGTCTCACTATGCCGTGGGCATTTACCAGAGACAAACATAGCATCCGACAAAGGATTGCTATTCACATTAGATATCACGTCCACAAGCTGTGTGTTGCCGTGTGAAGTGGCTGGGTAAAGTTCCAGCTTGGAAGCGCAGGTGTTTCCGTATTTATCCAAGAGGATAAATAGATCCTTAAGATTTCTATGCTATTATTTGTCACAAATATTGTTGCAGCTTCATCAGAAGAGATTCCGTATCTAACTTCGTTAACATGGAATACAAATCATGTGCGAAAGACGTTAGTTATTTTCTTCTTGACATTTTTTGATGCTGAATGATTTAAAGACTTGAGTGAAGCTTGTAATATAATATAGACTTCTCAATCTGTGTGCGGTTGTGTGTGGCTTTGGGTGTGTATGCATGTTTGTAGCCTGGCACCACAAATATACTCGTATGGAGGCTGTCGGACGCTCGTTCGCAATACTTATCGTGTCGAGGTTTACAAGAATCTGAAATTTCATTCTCAGTAAGAGAAAATTAAAAATGAAAGAGAGGGTTGAAAGGCTTAGATCAAATTGAAATTTGATGTTGTAATTAGTAAATATAAAATATAAAATAAGTTTAAAAGACGGAAAATAGTAGATTTTTCATATTTTGAAACGTTTGTAAAATGGAAATTGTATCTAAGATATGGGTTTGAAGAAGTTTTTATTCTATTGAAACACATTAGCTTCGTTATTATTAACGTGATTAGGGATCACGATAATGACAGGATTTGGGATAGACCGTCGTAAACGGTCCTAGTCTAAATGGTCCGTCCTAGGCGACATAAAGAGCGACGCACGACGTCGCTCTTTATGCAATTTATTTACCGCCGTGGCCCACTATTTCGACGCGAGCCGCATTTCTTTCCCTCGTGACACACCGACTGCTCCATTGCAAAATAAACGACACTGCAGTTTTTCTTTAGATTTATGTATAACATTTATAAGGAAGTTACTCATACGCAGTTGAATATTTTATTGGTCACAGGACTGTTCATATCTGGCCTATATAGTGCACTAGATTTAAATCGCTATTAAAAATTTTCGGAATAAAATTTTGAAGTACTTGTCATCACTTCTGGTAGAATGCTGACCCTGAAATTGGTGTCGTAGCTGCACAATCCTCGAGGCAGGAACAACAACATTCATTGGAATTATCTAATATTGAAGCGTGTCTTAAGCGAATCTCGGCTTTTTCCTTGCAGACTATTCTTAGGAACGAACTCTGAAATCTGTAAAACTCTTCTTGTAAGGGAAGTGACTTTAATGTCACGAGATCCGACGCTCGCTTCATATTCTGCGCTTGTTTCCGTGATCCTTGCTTCGGTTAATATTTTTAATATAGTTGATTTTTTTGTTACACTTCAATCAAAGACGAAGTTTAAGCGTTAGTTTTGTAGAATTCCCCCATTTAGCATTTTACAATTTTTCCTGTCACATCTGCCATCAAATCTGAATATAAATTTTGGATACAGTTTTTTACACACTATGGGCCATTGGCTTACCATTACAGGTTCTGAGTGCTTTAAAACTGCGTTGGGAAATGTGTTTGCATTCTTTCCAGCAGCTAAACCAGTCCTTTGAGCTACATTTCAAATGCATAACCTATCTAAAAAATTGCGTTTAAATTGAAATAGAGCCATGCAATTGGGAAATGTAATTTATTTCTGGCTTGGGGAAATTCCGACTCCTACGAATTCTTTTTTTAACAACAAATTAAACAACTTAAAACGATTATTATTTTTGTCTTGAGTTTCAATTCATAAGTACTGGTCTTGCCGAACAAATTGACATCTTCGATTGTGTCGATGGGGAGTGACGCCTTCTTGATGACCGAATCAAAGCGAGCTCACACTGACGTGTTGCCGCTAATGCTGAGGCCGTGTTGCCTCTTGAGGCTAGACTCGTGTAACTCAATCTAGTGCCTGCCTGGTCTGCTTACCGCTAAGTGACGTATAAGGTTGAGGTCGTACTTGACGCAATGCTGCCTGAGTGGAGCTGCATTAGTGATGTGAATGCATTCGACTGCCTTCGTGAATACGTTAGGTTGAGGGAACCTATTTATGTTGAATGCCTACACTCACCTGTTTTAATACAAATTCCAGTACGGGTAGCGACCAGGACGGCAAATAATGAAGACATGTTGCTTTCCGACCATGACCTTGACTTGGTCAGTAAGATTAAAATTGTCTTCTGCTTAGGAAATTGATGAAGATCATACTTCTAATGCAAGCAAAATCGAGTCAATTGCGAGTGGGAAAGGTTCTTAACAGCCGAGGCCAAAATGAAAGTTTAGTAGGTATAATCAGAGGAATCTAGTTAAATCTTGCGTTTTTGCGAGATTTTTCACGATTTCAATATTTAAACGTTATATTTTTCACGCAAACATTCTAGGTCCGATTCTATGATCATATGTTTCGTTATGATCATATGTTTATGATCATATGTTTCATATGTTTCGTTATGATCATATTAATGGAAAACACGTCCTTGGCAGGCATCGACGCGCGTTCCCAAGCACTTATTTTTCTTGATGCCCAGAGAAGCGATCTATACGGTATTGACTCGCCGCAATTCACATTCTTTATTGCGGTTTCGACCATAAAACAGCGGGTTGAACTGCGCCTTTATGATTCTTGATTTACATTGACATGTCTGAGATGGTGGGCCAACTGAGGGATGCTGTACGCAGGGTCGGGTTCAGTTGAGGGTAGGACCACATATCACGGCCTTGATTGCCGGCCTCGGCGAGCTGCGCTGCGGTCCTCATGAGTGGCCCATCTATGTCCTGACGAGACAGGGTGGTCCGTCCTGCCTGCACGCCGAGCCTGAAACCGCAAATTCGCTCCTTTTGAGACTTTTTTTAATCATTTTGAAAACTGCTGACTGCATCGTTAATAAGCCCGCCGAAAAGATTAATGAAATTAAAAACAAGTTTGCCCATGCTCTGCGCTCGCTTGTCTGAATAATTTTAATCTGACAGGAAACCTAACCGCACTGATCTTCTAGTTCTCTGGAAACTACGGCGCACAAGCTCCTAGCTCCAACGACATTCGTAATAGTTGCTACTGCAACTTTTATTTCCTATAAGTATCCTAAAATGATTGTACTTATATCATTGTTTCTCACATTTAAAAATTTTATTTTGTGTTTTTATTAGTCTAAGAAAAAAGTTTTACTTCACAGAGAAAAAATGTATCTCTTCATATATTCTTGAGGAATTGGTGAAGAAATTCCAATAGTCATTGAGTGACAAGTTTAATATTGTGAATAAGGACTTTTCTGAGTTGAATTAATAGGAGTGGAAAGTCGAAAAGATTAGCGCTTAAGAAACAACAATAATGAGCCTCAAATGAGCTAACTCCGTAGTTTAATAATAGATCATTTATAATCCGAGATGAAGCTTGGCGTCACAAAGAGTTGGGCGTCACCAGCGTCCACCGTCGTGGTTGCGGCCGCCTTCGCGTTCATCCTCCCAGTCGTCAGTGGTGAGTTGTCTCATTCTGGGGGGTTTAATCTTGCCTGCAACTTTGAAATAAATGAAAATTAGCACAGGTACGAAGCACTGGCGGTGAATCGTTGAGAAGATTGAATGAATAACAAACGATTTATTTTTCAGAATTTACCAAAAAAATGTTTCACATGAAGATAAAAATTACTTGTGAGTATACTTTAGTACGCGTGCTAAATAATATTAGTTTATGCTAAAGTTGGTCACTCGCATCCGATTCTAACGGGGCAGACAATTCATAAATAATTTTCATTAGTAGTTCTTGCCCAGCTGCCTCGCTATCGTCCTGTCGCGAAGCTCGTGCCATAACAGTTTAGTCACTGCATGTAGTGTCAGCGCCAAACAATGACCGATCCTTCTCCGGTGTTGCATATGGTAAAGTCCCGTTACTGAAGTTGCGGTCGAATACTTCCTGTACGTGTCATTGTCTTGCTTTGATAAGAGTGATCTACTTACCGACAGCCCGAGTGATCTACATAATGTTGTACGTAACATGAGACGACATTGATTAAAGTTTATTGTCTCCTCCGTATTCTTAGTAACCGAGAAAGTAATATTGGCAAAGCAAAATCTAAAATATAAGGTAATTGCTCATTGATTTATTGGCTTCAGTTCGATGCCATGTTTAGTAAAAATAAAATACAATCCCAGCCTATGGTTTCCTTTCAGTCGAAAAAAATTATGTACTGATCTATTCTGCGTTTGTTCCTACATCTCAGCATGACATTGATTTAAAACCCAATTGTGTAAAACTAATCACCATGAAATAATTCAATTTTGAGATTACTATGGTTTTGTTCTATTAATGTTTCTTTCCAATTTTGTCAAACGATATAAAGTGGGAATGAAATTTCTTCTGCATTCGAGAGGCTTCATTTTTGAAGGAAAACTCCATGGGCTGAAGGTCATCTCGCAGAGAAGTATATTTATTTCTGGATAATTCCCGTTCCTGCTAAGATGGCTTCATCTTGGGACCCATTGCGCCCATCTGGCGCACCCTGGGATATCGTCGCACAGCTCTGACACTTACAGCGCCGGGGTGCGACTGAACGACTTACTTTATTTTACGACTTCTGGGATTTCAGAAAATCAAGGTTCAGATATTTTGCGTCTCGATTTTGGGTCATTTAATTCTGAATTATTCTACTTCATTTCTAGCCGGCTATCTTGTTTTGTATTAGAATTAATCTACTTCATATCTATATAGCCGGCTATCTACTTACTGCATTTCTAGCCGGCTACCTTGTTTGTGATTTTTCACAATTAGAAAAAAGTTCCGTCATAAAGTCAACTAGACTAGATCGTATCCGAGGATTGATGTCATGAGGCAATGCTATATTGTCATTATTCTTTATGTGTTTTTTTTGTGATATTGCGTTATGAATCCAAATCCGAGAGCAGTTAATGGGAAGCAATTCAATGGAGAAGTTAGGGACCGATGAAATATCTTCGATCTAAGAAGAGTCATTCATTTATCACTCCCTCGGTAGTCGTAAGTCGTAGCAAGTCGTAAGCAGCGCGAGTTGTAGCAACAAACATATAAGGCCTGGCGTCAACAGAGCTCTATTGGCTGCTATAAACATAGGGGAGGATAATAGATCGCCAAACTCCAATGAGGCGTCGATCGTGCTCTGTTTGTTGTGTCAGTGTCGGCAGCGAGCAACCCCCAACCGAGACTGGCGGGGATATAGAACCAAGATTTTGTTATGTTCCTATTAGTTCAGGTTCCAACGGACGGGTTTCTTTAATTCGTTGACGGTAACTTCCGATGGGGTGTTTGGGGTTATTAGGCTTGGTCCAGGTTCCAAGTTTATTAAAGTAGAACAGCAAACAAAATTCCTCAAGCTAAAACAATTACAAAATTCCTCAAGATAAAATTCATTACAGATTTAAAACCTGAGATCTCGCTTTAACGCACGTTTTAAGAAACTTATGTCTCATAAATTAGGCTTGCACGTCTACCTTACGTTTACCATATTATACTTTTTAGATGCTTTCGTTGAGGTTATGTTTACACATTTTCTTTATTATTCTCGTCAGGCGATGTGGAATCAACCTTGGCTCGATGTTGCGCCCTTGGTGCCAACTGGGCGCGTGACGACAAGACCTGCGCGGAGTTCCCGACGCCCGTGACAGGGGAGCCGTCGGAGCATCAGTCCATTTGCCTCACCGCTGCTGCCATCTGCTGCCTCCGTCTCTACAGGTGTCCTCCTCATTCCTTGAGCTTCTTCATACTAAATTGCAAATACTCTTAATTAAACATGAGCTATGGCACCCAGTGGCGCGGTCTGATTCTTTCTTCAGTATAATTAGCTGGTGACACGGATTTGAAACAATTTTTTAATTTTTTGATGTTAACATATAGATTAGAATTTCTATATCGTATAATTAAATTCTGCATTTGAACTGTCAAGAGTTTGAAGCGTATTTTTGGTGCAGGGAAGAGCAATGCGAGAAAGGCAAACAAGCTGCTCAGAAAGGACATGACTGCCGAGTACCTGCGGCGCTTGGCGGCGAATACTACAAGGTTAGAACGTCTTTGTTCGTATAGTAGCTCGACATTATAATATAGGTATAAATCCTCGATTAATTAACCTCACTAGTATATACAATTCAGTTTGTCATTTAGACGCGCACGTTTGTTTCATTATATAATACAGCGGCAAATAATAATTTTTATGGGAACTCCATATTCAAAGCATCAATTTAGCCTCTTTTATGTTGGCTGAATAATATGTCTGGTTCATTTAGAATCATGTAAATGTTTCAGAAAAAATGTCAGCATATCGATAAAAAAAGTAAATATTTACGCGTTTTCATATGAACTTATGAAGACTGATTACGTGCGAGAAACGTTTCTGAGATAAAACTTTATTGACTGAAGTGAATACAGATGTCTCTTTTAGCGTTTATTAGGTCGTAGGCCTGTCGCCGAGTCTTAACATCGCATAATATTCACAGCTTGTTTCGGTCTCGAACTCGCAACTCACTGCTCCAATTGTGCTTTGCTTAACCGCCCGGCCTCCTTGCCGATTCTGACCAGAAACTGGCGCACAGAGCTGGGTTCGAACCCGCACCTCACTGCCCCAATCTCGTTACTATGAACTACTTGGCCACACTTTTACCAGTGGGCAGATCCTCATCATTGATCAATTAAGGTTTAATCCCTTTTTATAGTCCTTTCGTTGTACAATTTTATCATTGCACTTTTATTATTCTAATTTTTATTGATGGAGCTGGCTTTCGAAATATTTTTAATTGAAACATGCTAAATTGTTTAGTATATACTTCGCTCTCAAATTGTTAGAATAGAATAGAAGTGCCGGCACTGAAGAAATAGGCCCATGGCCTGTTGCCGATTCTTGTACGTTTCGTGACTTGATTCCACAGAGATCCGGCCTTATGAACCCGATCGTTCCATAACTGACGAATTGATTGAGATAGCTGCTGGGCTTATTGCAAGGCTCGTAAGGTGCTAGGCATTTTAAGATTAAACACATGCTCCCGTGCATAGCTTCGTCTAGTCTTTTCTTGAACGCGTTCATACTCGGAGCGTCAACGATGCTATCAGGGAGGCTGTTCCACATGTCGGTGAACCGAAGCGAGAAGAAATGTTGTCGCATGGATGTGTTACAACGCATTTTTTTAGTTTATAGCCGTGGCCCCTGGTGCTGGTTCTTGTTTCAAATTCCAGTAATCCTTCTAAGACCTTGTATAACCGTTGGTATACGTGTATACTTCAATGAGGTCACCACGCAGAGGTCGATAAAAGAGGCTTGGAAGCTTCATAATCTTTAATTCTCTTCATAAGGCTTGCCTTTTAATCCCGGAATTATCCTTGTTGCACGTCTCTGTGAGTAATTTTCGATTCATGCTTTCAAATGGCCTGGAAACTTTTACAATGAATTGCCCTAAAGGTTGCGTCGACATCTCGCATTTCCAGGACTGTTGCGAGGGCTGCAAGTTGGGCCTCGTGAGCGGGTCTATGGCGCTGAGTTGTTCCTTCAGGTCCTTGCAGTTCGGGTTCCCGTGGGACGTCGCCTACACGCAATGCTGCACACAGCTGCACCCACAGTTGCCTGTCCTGCCACGGGAACAACCTGAACGCGTGCACGGTGCGAAGAGAATATAAATTATATTATTTGGAATATCTATCAATCATATACATTTTTACTTTTTGTAATTGTAAGCCACACCCGAATCCATGCCACTTTACTGATAAGAGTCCAATAAGTCTGTGAACGCGTCAACCTGTTTTGTTCGAACGCATTGTTTCCTGTAGGACTCGTAATGGAAATAATGGAACTCTTCCTTTCCTCGATTAAGAGTGAAGTATGCGGTCTTGAAAAATATGAATGGTTATATTTCTGTCATGATATTTTTCAAAGTAGTGCTGGCAATATTAACGCTAAGAAACTATAAAATTTCAGAATTTAGGTATGCAAACTTGAGACTTGAATGAAATAAAGTTTAATTAGGTGCCAATTATAATTATGATTTTTTCGCTCCGTAATTTTTACGTGCCATTATTTTGCTCTGCAGACAATACGCTGCTATATCCTGGATCTTCGTCTCCTGTTGCTGGTGAGGAAAATAAAAAGCTCGTTTTATCCTTGCTGTTCTTATGCGCAAATTCTGCCATGCATTGCGATTAGATGAAGCAGAAAAATAGCACGTGGAATTGTGATTGCCCATCACTATTCTGGCATGTTTGTTCAATTATAACCGTCCCCAATGAAATGACTATCCGAATTGTCTCGATTCTTTCGTGGTCTCCCAGATTCAGACAACTTGTGCCTGTTGTTCCGCGACCAACTGTGCGCCCATATATGCGTGCCAGCCGTCGGCTCCTACACGTGTCAGTGTCACCCGGGCTTCACGCTCTCAGTCGACAAGAAGACTTGTCTTCAGCAGGAACCGATTGATCGGTAAGCACTTCGCAACAAGTCATCAGTAGAGATGATCTAACAATTTATTGAACTGTTATTATCGTTTAAGGAGGCGCTAATTTTAGTTAATGATTGGCATGCGCGTTCAAGAACAGACTAGATAAAGCTATAGAAAAATATATGTTCAGACTTGAATTGCCTAGCACCATATCGAACCCGATGGAAGTTCATTTCAAACTATCGTCAGTCCTGAAAATATCCGGTCAAATGACACGATTTTAGATCTTCTGTGAACAAGTAACGAAAAGTAAAAGAATCGGCGACAGTCCACATCAGGCCTACTATTCAGCGTTATGCAGCTCTACGGCTGACCGCATTTCAAGAAAAATATTTTGCTAAGTGTGGCAGATTAATTTTTGTAATGACGTTGTTTCAAATGTAATACATCAGAAAGTTACAAAATATTTGCAGTTGAAAAGTGTGATTTCGATTGCTGACGTATGTTTACTGACCGTGATTGATGATCGCTCTGATAGACACGTGTCAACTTTTTTACCGGCTCCCGGATCCTTCCTGATTCTTGATTCGTGCCTCGACGTTTGCAGCGGGCGATTACTAAGATGCGAAGCAAACACAACGCTCGGGATGACGGCAAGCATCCTTCATACTCCTGCAATTCTGAAAATAAAAAATTAACGGCGGCAAGGATTTTCTTTCTTGCGGGATCGCTCAGTGAATTAATGAGTTGAGTCCGTGACCGCTGTTAGGCATAGGGCGTGTCTCTGAATTTCAAATGAGCGTTCGAACACTGCAGTTAATTTGGTCTGCTTCACCGACGATGCTGATTGCTGAAAAGGTTTCTGTGTACAAGAATTGCAAGGCAATACTGGGTGTGCCCTTGTATCGAGAATTTATCCTATACTTGATGTGATGAGACTCGACAACAGGTCAAAAGGCGGAGTGAGGAATGTGCTATAAAATAACAGTGAAGCTTATTATTAAGCTGAATGTGAGACTAAGAAATCTAAAGAGAATAGATAATACCCATGTAAGTATGTGTTCGGCTTTTGTTCGAACTCTGCTCTGGTGGCGCCTCCAACTAAACTAATATTTACAAAAATACGCAAATTTGCTGTCAATTAACAGCGTTCATAATAATTTTATTGACCTACGTACTTACTATTTTAACATCTATACCAGTTTCGATGTTAAATTTCATTGCCGTCACTCGTAAAAATAAAAAATGTAAACAGAAGTCTTTAAAAAAAATAAGCGAGTGTTTTTTTACATTTCTTTAGATTATGTTATATGTCTTGTTTATGTTATTTATATATGTTTCTTTCGACTATATCGGTTTCAAAGTGTAATGTGTCGTAACTTGCCCTGACAAACATGACTCATCCATCACAGATGCGCCGACAACGACGCGTGTGAACACATCTGTCGCGACACCGGCATCGCTATCGTGTGTGCCTGCGACCCGGGCTATAGGCTGGCTGATGATGAACGGTCCTGTGACGGTGAGAACATGGCTTATTGTTACCGTTTTATCCTCTGTAACAGGTAGGCGCCTAATGATTTGTATGTGGCTTGTAGTCAGGTCAGCATTAAAATTCATTGTGATGTCAAGTTTTGTGTGGTATATACTGTACATTTAGAGACATTTTCTCCTAAATTAAGCCTACAACGTGGTGTGATTATATCCATGCACTGCAACAAATTCTGTCTTTCGTTGGGTATATTGATGTCTTTTTTGTTTATTTAATTCAATTTCAGGAATATTTGAGTGTTCAGCTATTTATATTATGTCATCTATCATCATCTTGTGGTGCCATCAGGTTCATACTCGCACGATATAAAGGCTAGATTAAATCTAATTCTTTTTGGCCTTGTATTTTTTGGGTTAAATTTTTTGTTGGTGTTCTAAGATTTAAAATATTAGCTTTCTATTCTACAGTGTTATTTTTCTTAAATTGTATCGCATTATATCTTGTTGACATGGTATTCTGGGAAAATTATTTGTTTGTACCCGAATTATTGAGGTACTGCTGATTTGATTTGATCGTTAAGCCAAATGAATATCAAGTTGTTCGCCGGCTTTCTGAAGCATCCTCAATAATTGGCACACTTTTACTTCAGCTCTGTTGTCAGTCTTTTTGGCTTTCCATGACCTCACGGTTAAATCGCTTTGTCATAACGTCTAAGTCACCAAGTCACAACTCATTCTTGCTTTGGTACCGTAAGTCTGCCAGTCTTTTCATGCCATTCCTCACACCCTGCGTTTCCGTATGACCACATCACCACCATCGTAACCCTGCCTCACCACCCAGACCTGGACGAGTGCTCACTGGGGTTGCACAGCTGCACCCCGGGTGTTCAGGTTTGTTTCAACCAGGAAGGTTCATACGCCTGCGTCAACCCAGACGGAAGCTTGACAGTTCCCTGGGTGACACCCAGCACGACTGGGCCGGTGTCCCGTGGACCTCTTGCCGTGGGTCTGGGCCAAGGCAACCACATACTCAGCGCCACAGATCCTCAAGACTACCTCTCCGGGTCTCCTGGTCGTTGCCCAACTGGGTACCGCTACAACACGCGCTCCAGGGTCTGCGATGGTGAGTATTCCTCTGCTCATAAGTGAAATAATTAAACTGCATCGGTCTCATCATAGAGGCAATCTTAACATTTGAATTTACATTATAATTTTTAAGAGAAATGTATAAGCGGTCAATATGAGTGCGGTAAAAGATGAATGACTAGTTAAGAATGCCGCCCGGTTCCATCATGATTAGAATGAGTCTTTCATTGAAAAATTACATTGTGGATAGAATTTCCGTATGGCTAGAAGGGTTCGTCTGCTAAATCATCGTGGTATTTTTGTTTTATTCCTGTAGTTCGATTGGAATAATACAAGTATTTATGGTTCAAATAAAATAAACTGGTCATTAGATAAAAATCGTGAACTCTTGCACGATTACTGCGAACTTTGCTGCCTTGACGAGCCGTGCAGCTCTATGTTGTACTGTGCTGCGCGCCTGTGCTGTACACGCCTGTGCTGTACACGCCTGTGCTGTACACGCCTGTGTTGTACACGCCTGTACTGTACACGCCTGTGTTGTACACGCCTGTACTGTACACGGCTGTGTTGTACACGCCTGTGTTGTACACGGCTGTGATGTACACGCCTGTGATGTACACGCCTGTACTGTACACGCCTGTGTTGTACACGCCTGTACTGTACACGGCTGTGATGTACACGCCTGTGATGTACACGCCTGTACTGTACACGGCTGTGATGTACACGCCTGTGCTGTACACGCCTGTGTTGTACACGCCTGTGTTGTACACGGCTACGCGTGGCCGCGCTGCCCTCCAATTGAGTCGGGCATCATATAGGAATTGAAGTCGTCACTTTAACGGTAATTTCATTTGATTTAATGCCCGAAGGCATTCCTGTTCTTCCTAGGGAGACAATAAAACTTAATTTCAAGCTTTGAAGCTGTTCCGTCGTCGGCTGGCTCGTGTGACTCATCGTCCACAAGAAGCTCTTCTGCCAAGAAATAAGCGTGAAATTTTCTGTATGTAATGCAACATACATATCTTATAAACAACCCTATAGGCAAGTTACTTGCAAAATTTCCTTCATTGTTCATTTTCAAGAATATTAGGCATTAAAGATCAGTAAGATTGAATGGATTTTGCCTTTAAAACTCAAAGTATCTTGTCACCCTTTTAATCTTTAGAATCTTGTATAACCTTTTATTGCAAGTAAGGATTACACAAGAAATGTATAACCTATTCTAGAAAGAATATCTAACTATACAAGATTCAGCAACGTGATGGAAGTAGTGACTTGCTTCAAATATTCAATTGAAATATTTGTTGGCTCAGTAGTGCATTTTAGCAAAATTGATTGAAAAACGATTGCAGTAACAGCAATCGATTGAAAAACTAACTCCACCAAAGTGTCATCATCAAATTTTATCGCTAAGAACTCCTCGCTTCAAAACCGGCCAGCGCAGGTCTTCAGATTTCTCTGCTATTCCTCTTAAGTTTATTTTCTTGGAAATTTGATCATATATGTCACTTTCCCAGTTACCGAAGACTTTTTCCATTAAACTTCTCTCCACAATCAATCATCAATAACACAGCTATTTACAAATAATAAATAATAAAAATACATTTCCGCATTGACCGGCACACTTTGTCACTATGCCACTTTTCGCCACATCTTTCCCTTGAAAGTCGTTCCATTATTTACTATTCAGAAACATCTCTACAGTACATCCGATCATTATTCTAATCTCTGCAATTTCTTTTCATTAAAACTTATTCCACTACAATCAGAAACACGTTTTAGACAAACTTGCTCTCATCATTCTCACATTCAGCTTCACATTACGAACACTTCGCACCGTGTTTCTGAAGCACCGTGTTTCTTTGCACCTCATCACTTTGCACCGTGTCCTGCATGTCTCCCGCTGCCGCAGACGTGGACGAGTGCGTGACGGTGCCCGGGCTGTGCGGGCGGGGCGGTCTGTGCTCCAACACCATCGGCTCCTACACCTGCACGCAGCTGCCCCCCGACACATGTCCTCCGGGCTACCGTTTCGACATGCCTCTACAGTCCTGCCGCGGTCTGTAGTGCCTTGCAATATACATTTATTCGTTGAGATATTAGTATCTTGCAACGAGCAGGAAGCGATTTTTTCCAGCAGTTACGTTGCTGCGCATTGTTTGTGTTCTATATTCCTGATACATTTTGAAGTATCTTCATCTAAATGAAGCGACATGAATAACAGAATAGTTCCGCCATATTTGATAGCTATAATAACATTTTCGTGACAGTCAATTTGCAATGGAACTTCGAATGTATCATCACGGCTCTTCATTCATGTTGGCTACGCTGAACAACATCGATTATAATTGCTTATAATTACGAGCTAAGACTATTTCTGTTTTTACTCATTGGGCATCTCGGTTTAACCGTGTTCATTTATTACATATTGTGTGAGGTCTGATGTGTGGTATGCTTAATTCATTGTTGTTTCTGTTGGTAACCCAGGCTTAATTATGGAGCACAAGACCTTGATTAATTTTCTGTAATCATGCAATTCAAACACGCTCTTGTGATTACACGATTTACCGTTTCTTCGTAATAAACTGAACAAAATTTTTCCCAAACTGAATTTCGTTTTAGGAAAGGAAGCAGTTGTGAAAGGGAAATTTTTATGAATTATTCAGGATGAAACTTACTTTATTTAAATTCTTTCTCGAATTTCCTTGTACAATACATTTTTAACTGAACATTTCGAGGGGCATATTGTTATAGAGTTAATGCGTTCTGCGCAAAGTTCTGAGAATGTGGGCCTATTTAATTAGACCAGCTTTTTTATCGCCGTTAACTAATATTAGATTCTATGCATTTTACTATAATATTCGATTCTATGCATCTATGGTAAAAACCATTGCATGCCTCATGGACAAAGTCACAACATGAAGTTAAAAACTCGATAAAAAACCAAGTTGCAGTTTTTGTCGATCGTACAAATTTAATCATATTGGAAAACTCATATTTGTATTATTTCATCGCAGTTACTTTGGTATTAGGCTAGGAACGCGGGAACAGGGATGTCGAATGTCAACACCTCTCATCACTGAGAAGTATTGAATATTTGACGCACGTCTGTTGTTTAAGTGACAATTTGATTTTTCTATTGACAGTTAGATAAGGAACATAAATTGATCTTTTAAAGTCTGCTATGATGTTTTCGAAAATGTATTCATAGAAGTTTATTTCCGTGAAATTAATTTTAGGTATTATTTATTATTGTAATTTTTACTTGTTTATACTTTTCCCAATATTGTCGAACTCGACTGATAAAAGTACTTCTTTTAATTTTTACTTAAAATGTCGGCCTAAATCTCAAGATGCTCTAAGTGAGGATTAATTCGATTTTCGAAATACTTGCGTGCAGACATCGATGAGTGTTCAGAAGGGCTGGATAACTGTAAGCGGTCCTCACACTTATGCATCAACATACAAGGCAGCTTCGCTTGTCAGGAACTCAAAGACACGACCTCCTGCCCTGCGGGCTACAAGTACAACGACGTCAACAAAGCCTGCGAAGGTCAGACCCCATACTAAGTTTGTCGTTCATAGGAGGGATCCTCATGTGACGCTAACGCCGATGTCATCTTGTTAACAATATTGCTTCTATTTGATGACACAAGCTAATTTGTTGGGAACTTCTGCAAACCTATGAAATCTTATCCACATTTTGATTCAATTACAGCCTCTGTATATGTGGGAGAATGAGCCTCGTTTTTGCTTAATTTGTTTGTGAATTTGCGCGTTACGTATATCTCGCAGATTCAATGAAAATTAATGATAGATGATAAACGTCTGTCTTTTATTTTGTTCTCATCTCAAGTAATCTGAAATGAATGATGTACCAATATATCTAGGAAACTATCGTTAAGCTCAAGTCAAGCACTTATATCGTATTTTTTGAATAGAAAACTAATACACTGCCATGTATGCTTGGAGAAGAAGCCACTAAATACAAAACATGACTTAATATGAAGTTCATTTGAAGTTATGGCAGAATATAAGCCTTGTAATGAGTTGGCGCCCGACACCATTTGATGGTCAGGATGATGCTCGGGCACGCGCTCTGGCTACCGCTTCCTTTAAACGGCTCACATATACAGCCATCTGCACCTTTATTAAGTTTTTATCGATGAATTTATCGTCCTTTATTAGTTGATGTGAGCATGCCTTAAGTTATTTGGTAATGCAGTTTGTAGTTGATTAACACTTCTCTTTTTAATTACAAGTTTTGTTCAAGCATTAGAAATATGTTAGGGCATTATTTCTTAGTCAATACGCTATGAGCCCAAGTTAGTGTGCTATGAAATTATTGAGGCTCACAATCATTTCTCTAATGTGAATCTATATTTCATGAACGCTCGTATCGTATCATTAGGGTTTAAAAGGAAAATACCTTGGTAATGCAAGTTCCTGTTCTTAATGTTTCTTTGGTCTACCAGTTCATTGGTCTTGGTAAGACGTCTTCTTTCTCTCTTCGTCGTTATTCTAATGTTGCTACTGCGTTGGTTCGCATGGTTACGAGTTTTATATTAATTATATTAATATGCGGTGCTTTTTGTGATTACATGTCTTGTGACATGAGATTACATATCGCGGTTTTGGTGTGTATGATTCGTTATTACTTTTCCATGTTTATTTTACTTATTTTATACGGAGCGAACTATTTTCTTGTGATGATTCACTTCGTTGTATTACTCCTTCTAATTGCTGTCGGATTTTTGGCGGCTGTTATAACCGCTCCATCCATATATCAACTTAGTTAATATTTTTGCCTCATCCTTGCCCGATTCTTACCGAACCTTGCACGCAGATTTTATTTTTTTCGTGTATCTCCGACGTGTTCCTCCGCATGCGCTGGCACAGACGTGAACGAGTGTGCCGAAGCGTCGTTGGTGTGTCGAGAGGACGAGGTGTGTCGCAACACCATTGGTGCATATGACTGCGAAATAGAATGCGACCAGGGCTTCCAGTACTCCAGTGGCCTCGAGACTTGCGTCGGTGAGAACTACTTCTAGTAGCCGAGGTGGACTTTGATGTGTCGGCAACTGTCATTTCTTCACAATGAATTTATAACCATCGTCAGTGAGACCCATTTTTAAATGCCTATTGTAATCATAATCGTACGTCTCAGGGGCTATTGCATTTCAATGTCACTTTCATTTCGAATTGCATTCCAATTTTACTTGCACCGCTGTGCTAAAAAGAGGCAAATTTTCGAACGAAGTAGAAAGAAGCCGCTTTTAAAAAAATAATTTCGTGCTATAGAACGGTGGAGTCCGGTTATTTAGAGTCTATTCCTTATTATCCAAAAAAAGCGTAGCCAATCCCCGTACAAACGGTGCTGTGATGTAATATTGACATTCGAGCGGTATAAAAAACATTTAGCAATTACATCCGAATAACGAATTCCATTAGAAGTTACTTTTCGCTTATTCCTACTCCACATAAAAAGTGTCGTGTCGTTGACTTTACACGTGTCGTGGGCAGACATGGACGAGTGCACGCAGGGCGGACACGACTGCGTGTCAGGCAGCCAGGTGTGTGTTAACGAGCCTGGGTCCTTCCGGTGCGAGGATCTGCGTGATGCGACACGTATTGATGACGACGCCTCTCTGCTGGGTCAGTTGATGGCTCCAGTCAATATAACAGTAATTGTATCGTGCAACATTAGTCCGCGTCTGGCGCTTAAGTTCCAATGAAATCAAACTCAAGGCGGATAGAGCGAAAACTGTGTTGGAATGGGAGGTTAAGTGGAAAGAAATTTCATTTGAGTCATTTATTGAAACATTAAAATTTGAATAAACTTGTCAAAACAGCTTAGAATCTTTTTCCATGACCATTTTATCTGTAAAAATTTGACCTGAATTATGTTATCCAGGAGTTAAAAAATACAAGAAACTTCATTATATTTTCATCGAATATATTATTCAATTGCATTGATTTGCGAATTTAAAAATCTAATTCGCGTTTTTATGCTATGCTGAAGATATTTTCAGAAGTAATGTTTAATAACAGCAATGACAATAATACGCACTAACAATTACTTCGTAATGGTATAGAGTATTGATAACGTCGAGATGTCGTTTAACTCTTCCATTTTATAGCGCCGAGAGTTACCGGTGGGGTTAACGCAACCCCCGCGTCCAGGTCGGAGGTGCAGGAGTGTCCCGTGGGCTACGGCTTCGACTTGAGCTCTCGACAATGTCTTGGTGACTATCCTTCAATTTTAATATTAGACTTGCAATAAATAGAAGGGGCAATAGAAGTGGTAAGATATTTCCTCCTTTTATTAAACTCTTAGTTAGTTAAACACTTGTTCACTATTGTTAAAAGAGGTTTTGCCACACCCAATGCTCATAACATTCAAGATTGAGATATTTTCCCAACAATATGTGTGTGATGAAAATATCTGTCCCCAACACAACATCTAGTAAGAAATTAAGTGTCATTAACTCAGCTGTTTAGATTCGATCTTTTATCTGTTTCTATGAAGTTCAGCGTTAAGCGAGTCGAGAATTTAGTCAATTATACTTTTCACATCACAGTACTAATGTATCGCATCATTCGCATGTATCGCATGCATAAGTATTGCTGCTAGATAAATTTTCCTAGTTTCCATCATGCTTGTGACAACAAAATATTTATTCTGTGAGACAACATTTAGTTACAGTTACAGTAGTTTGATATCATGAACCTTTTATTCAGAAATTAGCAAAAAATTGTATTCCCATATAAGAATTGGATTTATTTCTTAGCATTTAGATTCCAAAAATGAAGCTTACATTTATTTTCTTGAATACAACTGATCGTTTAATATTTGTTTCATTTCATTTAATGTGAAGATTATCAATTGATGGAATTTTGCTGTCAGCTTTAATAATTAAATTTTCAATGAAATATCTTGAAGGTACTGCTAGTAAAGTTTGCCTAACGAGCTTTATTCGTGTCATTACAAGACATCGATGAGTGCGAGGGCGGCGTGCACGCATGTAACGCGGACGCGGAGCGCTGCATCAACACTCTCGGCAGCTTCAGGTGTAGCAAGAAACGCTGTCCTATGGGGTACACCAAGGGGCTTAATGGCGACTGTATCGGTGTGTACCATTGTTGTTACCATGTATATTGGTGTAGATATTAACTTGGCAGCATGCTATTGAGCCGCCGGGTCAGTAATGGGACTGCTGAACTGCGGCACAGTTTCTGTACAATACGAGCGTACGCCTACTTTATTTACGCGAACATGGTTTCAGGATTCATTTGTATTAGCTTCCGAAAAAGTTCTATTTGAATGTGAATTTGTATATAATGTAATACTCCAGGTATTACAATTTATTTTCCTTTTTATTTTTTATTATCTATATGGTAATAAAGAATACTTCATTTCAATTCAGAGCTACGCTTTTCGAATCGATTCTCGTGTTGTGGAAATGAATTAAATGAAACTATCAAAAATTGCTTTGCTAAATGGTTGTAAGACCTACGTGAAACTCGATGATGATTCCAAAAGAGATCCAACTTAATATTTCATGTTCGCGTCAATGTTTTTCTAACGTGTCTTAACTTTTGGATAGCAATCAATGTTCTTAGTTTAGGTTGACGTATTGACGTATACTTAATTCTGTTTTTAAGATATCGACGAATGCGAGGAAAGGAACCACGCGCTCTGCCTGCCTGGCCAGATTTGCGTTAATACGCCGGGCTCGTTTGAGTGTCAGGTCGAGTGTCGAGACGGCTTCAGATATGATCCAAGGTATAGACTTCATTCCAGCCATCAAGAATTAATGAACGGCAATTTTTCTGCATGTAATACTTATTTACTTGCCTTCATACCAACCTCAACTGTTTGCACTCTCAAATTCTCAAATTATTAACAAATTTTCCGCAATCATAATTTATATGAGTTTTAAGCATTTATATATATCGCAATGGACAAATAACGCGAATCCCTCTTTATTTGTCAGCCACCCACTGACGTGTGCCGACATCGATGAGTGCAGCAACAGCCCGTGTGCCCCAAACGAAACTTGCATGAACACCGAAGGCTCGTTTATATGTCATCCCGGCCACCGACACCGCCATGAGGGATCGCGACGTAAAGGCCATCATGGATCTAACAGACGTGGTTCACATAATGATAGAAACGGCGTGTCAAACAACACACGAACATCCGACAGAACTGGGGCTTCGATGCCTGTTTCGGTGGACAGAATTGGCGCTTCTGAAGACCACAAGCAGACCCACGGCCCGGAACCTTGCTTACCGGGCTACGCAAGAGCTGATGATGCTTCCGATTGTGAAGGTGGGTTGCAAGAATAAAATTCTAGAATATTTTGACTTTTTCCGACTCATAATATTTCTGGTAAATTTGTACATTTTCATGGCCATCTGATCCAGAATACACGAAATTCTTACCTAAAATGCATACACGAATATAATGAATCATGTCGTGATATTTTAGCAAAGTTTGTTTTGTATACAACACACACTGGTTCCAGACGTGGACGAGTGCGAGACAAGCCCTTCCCCTTGTGGGGACGAGGAGGTGTGTATGAACCATCCTGGCGGTTACCGCTGTCGGTTGCCTCCAAGGATTCGCTCCTGTCCTCCTGGCCACCGATTCATCGCCGCCGACGATGCATGTGTCGGTGAGTTCATCAGTTGGTGAGTAGAGCAGCGCTTCTGAAACTTTGAAAAATTGTACAGTGGCTACCCCGGCTGTGACTGACAAATGTGCGTCTCCTATATAGAGGAGATAGGTATAGGTATAGAGGAGATCATACGCTATACCATTGTTAATATCATAAATTAGCCAATTAAAGAGATTGTTCTCTTCCTGTGTTTGAAAAACACCCACAATAGCACATTACTTCTGTCCTGAGATGTTATTTTTGATACCATAAAAATTGTTATTATTCGGCGTCATCTCATGCGCACCCGCGCAATACTTCGATTATTAACTTTTATTGAGTACTGAAGTTTGCTTACATTCGAACGATCGAATCGTCTATACTAGCAAATGTATATTCGGAGGTTTGAAGTTCTTGTATCGTACTTCATCGTGTTTTTTCATTTGTATTCGGAACATTTTATATATTTAAAAAAGTATTTCTTGCGTTCAGTTTCGAAACTGTTTCAAATAATATATTCGTCCATCGAGAATTCCTTTAATTTCTGATGTAATCTATGTTTTAATATGTGCAAATTACTTTATGAGGTATGTTTTAATAACTTTGAGATATGTTTTTTAATTTTTCCAATCTTTCAGTGATGCTTTGAATGCATATATTTTTCTCTCAACTTACTGAAACATATAATTCGGCAGAAGTACCTACTCTAGACTTATCTTGATAAAGTGCCAGCTGGCTGCAAATTCTGGGTGAGTATTTTCCAATTGTGAATATTTTTATCCATCTGATTAACCACTTGCGTCAAGTCCCAAGCTATCATTATCACTGTATATATGTGTGTGGTATACAGGAGGGCAGCACTGTATATATGTGTGTGTGGTATATAGGAGGGCAGCACTGTATATGTGTGTGTGGACGTCCTCGATGCTGCCCTTATAATGTTACTGGGGACGTGGGGATAATATCAACGGACTTGTTACGTCTTGCCCGCTACTGTTTGGACTTTTTCTTAGTGTCATTGCAGTTGTCCTCTTTTATAGCCTCTAGCATTTATATTTCATTAATTGTTGATTTTTCCTTCTATGCCTTTCGTAAAAAAAATTAATGCATATAATTGTGTGCTGGTTGATTGAATTAAAAATCATATAAAAATAAAATTTTGTTTATCTGCATATCCGGGGTTAAAACCTAATGCTGTATATTGCAATATATTTGAATGGAACTTTTGTCAAATTCTAGATTAATATTAATCTAGAATATCAAAAATGTTTGCCGAACTACTAATCATACGACTTGAGGCCTGGTAATCGAAGTTGAATGCCACCTCTAGCCCCGTTCACAGTTCTGGTCCTAATATTTTATTACCACAACTTGAAATAGCTCAAAGATTTTAAATGTTTCAATTAAACGCATGTAATGTGATTTGTCTTCAATTGCCAGACATCAATGAGTGCGAGGAGCGTGCAGACGACTGTTCTGCGTCGTCACAGACGTGCATCAACTCTGTGGGCTCCTACCGATGCATCGACCGCTCCCCGACCTGTTCATTCGGTTACAGATTTGACTCGGAGTCTCGCGAATGTGTTGGTGAGTCACTGAGTCTGTGCACTCTTCTTGATGAATCTACGACGAAGTGAAAAAGTTTTCCGCGTTCTTCTGAATGTGAATGAGGAATTTTTCTTGTTTGAGTGCTGACTGCCCGTTACTTGCTAATTAATCACGCGCAAAGTTGATGCGCACTCGTTTGGATACGTCAACGACGGTCTGAACATTTGTCTCGGATATGGTTGTAGCGCCTATAATTTCTTTGAGTTTCTCTTATGTATTAGTGATGTAGTGCATTTGGCACTGAAAAACACACTTTTGCAACTAACTGCAGATTTTCAGAGATTAAGATTATTGTTCTAATTGTTTAGGCACGAATCATCTCGAGTTATTTTGTTATTAATGAGTCAGATGTGAACGAGTGCACCCAAGCGCAGCCACCTTGCCGTCCCCTCCACATTTGCATCAACACCCGCGGCGGGTTCTCCTGTCGCATGCGTGTGGGTGTCCCGGGCAATCACTCAAACAACGAGGATAGTCACAAATTCAACCTCCATAAAGAAAATCGGGTTAATTTCACAACAGTCGATAAATTCCCTGCATCCCACGGAATAATTCATCGAAGAATTTTTCAGGAATTCCCTTCGGCAAACTCAAGTCTTACAGTAAATTCCGTATTAGATTATATGAAAAAAGATTATATTGCCAATGATTCATCGTCATTTAACGCAGGTAAATCATCTAATACGAAAATGCCAAGTCCCCAGACGGAAGAAATTCTTTTTTCGAAAAAATCCCGAAATTTGACAGAGGAAGGTAATGGCCTAAATTTGCAACCTGTAATCCATGCCCGAAAACTCAATGAAAAAAGGATTGAAAACTCAAACTCCGACATGGCTTCCAAAAATGACGACAACTCTTCGCACGAGAACAGCGTACTGTTCAGTGATCAACGAGACCAGACCAGCCACCTCAGCACTCATACTCTTCTTAAGAAAATAATACGGGAGAAAATGTACCATCACTCACACATTAAAGAGGACGAACCAGTGATAGATGATGTTCACCCTCGCATGAACATTCAGGAGGCCGAACGAGCTCAGAACATTTCTTATCCTCTGTACTCGACGAAATACTTTCATCGGCACTTAGTTGCTGGTGTATCTGAAAAGGAGGGAGATTTACCTGAGGTAATTTTGTTTCTCCAAGTGTTATAACTTTAGGTTTGAAGTGCACTGTGCTGATATCAATAGTTTTTCTCGGCTATCAATGGGTGTTGAATGCTGCAGTTCTTGTATTTATGTTCCGTCATTTCTCGTTTTACGTGCAAGGTCCACATTTTGTTCTAGCGAAGGACCGTTTTATTCCAAAATTTTTTTTAATAAATGTGTCCCGATGTTTGTAGGTCGCCAAGCCCCCGACAGGCGCGCTAGTCTGCGCGCCAGGTTTTAGGCTGGAAATGAGAACCGCCGTCTGTGTCGGTGCGTCCGTCGCACGATCACTCAACGCGTACCAGAAGAAAGATCAGTTTTTTGACGAGGCATCACTTAACGAGTGTTCCGAGATATTCTATCATTTTTATACAATTGTTTTACTATCTTGAACATACAGCTGTATATCTGGTCTTTGATAGTTTTTTTCTGAAGCTTTTGAATTTAAAACCAACACTCGTTTCGCTGAAAAAGTCTGAAAATCTGACGAGCATTCCGTATAGTTATCGATTATTTCAGTAAGTTCACTCAAAATTACCTAACTGATGCCAAGTTGTATCTCATTAGATATTCTTTCTCCTGGTACCAGAGTACGACTTTAAGCGTTCTAGCATGTGCTATGCACCTGCCCGAGTATTCAAAGATTATATGTAAGATGAGTCACACTGTTTACCGAGAAACTGCACGGTTTATGAGGAGGATGTATTATGAAATAACATTGATTGTTCTTTTCATATCTTGATTCTATCAGCATTGTATTGTCCAATGTTAAACATACGTATATTAATCATTCTATATAATTTTCCTGTTGAATTTAACTAACTTTAATGGTGACAAAATTTTGTGCGCTGACCCAGGATTGGAAGTTGTGCATCCGTTCAATATTTGCACAGCCCATCGTTGGCACTGTCTTTATAACCAAGTAGTATTGGAATACTGTTCAAGCTACTCTAATTATTTAGCCCTCTCATTCAAGCAAATTTTCAACACTTTTTGCATCAATGGTCGGTAATTATTAATAACTGGATTTTCCTGCTCTAAGGAATTTCTGCTGCGGAAGCATGGAATCGTTGTCAAGTTAATGAATTCCTAAAACCCTTAAAAGTGTTTCTTCTTATTCTTTGACCGTGATTTGTTACAATTTTGCGTACCGGTCTAGAACTAAGAAATATATGATCTGTCATGTACTAAACAAGACTTAACCTACTTGATGAATAATTAATCTTGAACCAGTGCTAACTTGAAACGTAATTTAGAACTTCACTTTGGAATTATCGTTTGTTTATTAATGTGACCAAGTTGACTACGAGTGGAGACGGAATGCTGGGTTTCGTTGCCATCATAAGGCCGTGTTAAATGTCCGGAAATGTTCAAATTTGAGGCTAGGGTGTTCTGTAATTTATAATTACGCGTCGTCGATACTTCAGCGTTACTGCCTGCAGTAACAGCAACTACTGTCAATGGATACTATGGCTTCCACACTGTTCTACAGTTCTATTTTATTTGATAAATTCGTAATAGAGCGCGTCTTCATCCTTCTGGTAATGCACGGGGTCGTAATAAGAACCAGGTAACATCTGCATGTGCAAATGGAGGTAACTTATTTCGCACGTTCACCTTTTGCAATCGTTTTTCATCAGAATTGTTGATAATGGGAAGTGTCATCGTGAGTAAATTCAGGCACGACGGTCTGCTACGTAGTTTGTGTTTAACATTTGGACTGGGATTTGTTTGCACGAAGATAGACTTTGGTTGTTAAAAAGCATGTATATTTTTCTGTAGCGTCCATAATTTCAAGGAAATAATTAAGAATGTGGGCTAGTTGTTACTAGTGGTAGTAAATGCAATGCTGAATATTTCAGCGTCAACTCTCTTTATCAATAAGTTATAAAACTATCATCTGTTCATCTTCAGTTGACATGACCAAGATTTTGATAAAATTTTTAGCTCTCGCGCTGCACTTCATTTATGCTTCATAACCTGATATTTATTTCCCTGCTTAAACCCCAGCCATTGTGGCATCAATATAATTGCTTACTGTCATCTCTGGTGCTTTTTCTTGTGTCCACGCAGATATTGACGAATGCATAGAAGAGCGAGATTTTTGTGACGTGATCACGGAAGTCTGCACTAACTTGCCCGGCGGTTACCGATGTGACCAGCAAAAAGGCGGCATACCGTTTGCCCCTGAGGATTCTTCCCCTGACCGCAAACTCGTAACATTCTCAAAAAATGAATCCCTAAATCCGAATTCAAACCCGAATTTAACGATGATTGACCAAACGGCTTTCAACATTGACTTCTCTGACGACGCATTAAATTCTTCCCATCGAGTTCCAATTAAAATCCCATCATTGAGGGTTCCTTCTGCCCTCCCCACTCGATCTCCGCACCCTGACTTGATTGAAGCCACCACTCTCGAACCCGCACAAAGCCCTTCGCTTTCATATACTAACCCTATATCCACCACACCACCACCGCTACCATCATCATCATCATCACCCAGCACCGCAGGCACTAATACTCCCTCCGCTTCGTGCCCTCCTGGCTTCCATTTCGATGTGACCAATGACACGTGCCGAGGTGGGTTTTGCTACGTGTCTATAATCTTAGCTGATGTCATCACAAGAAAATAATGTTGAGCTGTCTACAATAATTCAATTAGTTTGTAGCACTAACTTCGTAATGAGTGGTGTCTCATGATACGAGACACTTAATGAGTGGTGTTTCATGATATGAGACACGAAATGAGTGGTGAGTGGCCCGCGAATGATGGACTGTCTGCAAGAAACATATTGCAATGAGCGAGTCCTGATGTTTGAGCTCAGCAAGAGCTAATGTTTGACTTTTAATGCATTAATTCAAGTTATCACCAGCGATAGCTCCCGAACGGACGTAATTGATTATGTTTTTTGAACGAAGTTGATAGAAATGCCAACAACACCGTCAACGTTTCTCTGCAACATTACGTTCCTTAGACAAAGAAACATTTTTTGTGCGAATAGATATTATATGCACTTGTCGCCTAATTAAGGTATTATGACGAGTAAAGAGGCGTTCGTGAAATCGAGTCAAGAGTACACGTTGGTGTCTATTTATCTAAAAATAGATATATATTTATTTTACATCATATCTAACAGTAATATTCACGATATTATTGTCATTCTTAGGTAAATTCAAGCTCATTTTTCTCTCACAGTTCACGCTCGTGTCGTCACACGATGGTTAGGAAGTCTTATGTAATTAATAATGATCATCAAAAATTCACCCACATAAATATCTCAATCTCTGTTTCATGTACAGCAAATTTGCAGTGCACATCCATCATCGTAAATAAATTAATGTTCCAAACGTTATATAATTATGTTCAGTCATACTGGTCCAGTTCTAGAGTGCCTATAATCTCGGCTTTTATAATCTTCTTTGCGTAGACTTGTTGCAAGAGTCGATCGAAATTCTACGAAACTGGATACCTTGTTTTTTGATTAATTTCCCTGCGGTGAAGTGGAATCAAGATGAAGTGGTCGGAAAATAGTTCAATTTTTGCAGATGTGGATGAGTGCGAAACGTCGCCATGCATGGCGGAAGAGAGATGTCGTAACACGCTGGGCTCCTTCGAGTGTCGGTGTCGCGAAGGTTACAAGCTTGATTCCAGCACAAGCCGATGTAAAGGTAAATTATAATGTCATTTTATAATTGACCTTTTCCATTTCAGTAGATGATATTACAATGGTTGAGGCTAATGCGGTAGTTATCCTATTTTATTGCATACCAGGGAAGAGCCATTTATATGATCATGATGGTTTTTGTATAGCATTCTTAAGTAACCTTAAATACAAATTTATATCTGTGTGTGTTTCTTTTTAGACTTGATTCAGTTGCTTATAATGGATATGATTATGTTCCATCTAGCATACTTTTTAAATGGAGAATTTGGTTTTTAACTGGTCGATCTTTTGGGCCTACTTTTGGTCTGAACGCCCTCTTTCACTCATAGGGAAGGCTGCGAACATGTTTGAGTGGCGGATTTAAACTGGTTTCAGCCTTTATATATCATTACTCTGCTCTCGATGTCGTGTAAAATGAACCAACGAAACTTGAATAAATATTTTTGAAATTCGAAGAATAAACCTAGCCTATATAAGCTACAAATAGTTTTACTTGACCGCTAAATTTAATCAAGTTTTCAACTAATACTTAACAGACATCAATGAGTGTCAGCTCGGCACTTATGATTGTGAAGAAAGTCAGCGGTGTGACAACACGATCGGATCCTACACATGTGTGCGGATATCGGGTTGTGGGACAGGATACACTCTCAATCACAACAATGGACTTTGTGAAGGTGAGTTTGAATGTTGATTGCCCGTACATGTACAGGTATCGGGTTGTGGTGCGGGGTACACTCACAATAACAAGCTACGTGTGAGCAAGTTGTTTGTGCTAAGAATCGAAGTGTATGCTGAAAACATAAGAAACTAATTATTGGATTAAATGTTTGTTTTGGTTTGGTTTTACTGCACGTAATGGCATGAAAACGATAATACTGTGTTCATTATCATCATCTTTACGTCTCTTCATTGGCTTTTTAATAATTATGATATAATCTGCACTCGGCTAACATCGCAATTTTACATTTCAAGTTTGCCAACAAATTAATACTCAAGTTTTGCATAAGATTTCTGCATGTATCTATTTTTATGTATCATGGATGCATGTATTTTCAAGTTCTGCACAAGGTGGGCCAGTGGTAATAGTTCAGAGTAACGAGTTTGGAGCAGTGAGGTGTGGGTGCGATCCCAGCTCTCTGCGCCAGTTTCTCGTCAGAATCGCCGAGGAGGCCGGGCTGGTACAGTAAAATTGGAGCAGTGAGTTGCGAGTTTGAGACCGCAACAAGCTGTGAATATTCTGCGAAGTTAAGAATCGGCGACAAGTCGAAGGCCTAAAAATACGCTGAAACCGCTATATAAATTTCATTTAATAATTTCTTATAATTTCACCTACGATTTAATCGCATCTTCATTATTTGATTACTAATTTAATTGTTGATCTTGTAACCAACCCGCTTTAAGAAGCTTCACTAACTTTAGACAACGACGAATGCGAGTCTGGCAAGCATGACTGCGTGCAGCTCGGGCCGCAATGGCGGTGCGTGAACACCAAAGGATCATTTCGTTGCGAGAAGAAAGTGTGTCCAGAACTTCAGTTCCTAGATCCCTTCGGCGAGTGTGTCAACGTCACTTGCCCTGAAGGCTACAAACCTCATTCTAAGTCCTGTATTGGTGAGATTATGTTAGCTCTCAAACCACAGTGGGTCCTTACATATAATTTTACTGCAAATAGCCTTTCATTTTCAACATTTCAGATTTCTGGATTTACGCGTTAAATATTTTTGTAATCAAAAAGGTCGTCGTCCTCAGTGAGTCACCTAAGCTGTGAATTAATTGATTAAACATATCGTAATTGATGATATGTTTAATTAAATTCTAATATCGCATGTAAAATAGTAGAAATTTCTATCATACATTACCCATTTGCATCAACTGTTAACTTACTAATTCAAATGCTTGTTCTATTAATGTAAATAATATTGGATATAATTCACCCGCACTGTAAACCTACGTATGAGCGCACCAAGCTAACATGCACGTTCATTCTGATGATTAATGTTCTGTGCAAAAACCGTTAAGATGTAACTGAACCTATAAATATTAAGTAAGGTGCAACTTTATACGTCATGTTGAGTATAAGTAGTTAGCCTAGTAGATACAGTTAAGAGTATCAGAATTGCTGCAGTGAGTTGCAGGTTCTATCCCTGTTTCCCGTGACTGTTCTGGTCAAAATCGGCGCGGTGGCCGGGTGGTTGAGAATAGCAAGATTTGAGCAGTGAGCTGTGGGTTTGAAACCCAGGCAAGTTGCAAGAATTTTGCAATGCATATGGGATTGGCGAAAGACCATATTTGGTCTATTTGACGCTGACGCCACCATTACTCATAGCTCAGTCTAGCAAGATAAATTGTGCTGCTGTCCTCCTGATTGAATGTCGTCAGACCCAATCAGCCGAATTTACTTTGTAACAAATGTTATTGATTGATTTTATTTGACGTTTCCTTAGATATCGACGAATGCGCTGAAGCAGGACTCTCGAACTGCCGTGCCAACGAAAACTGCGTCAACCTCCTAGGCTCGTACATCTGCCAGCCCAAGATGTTGTGCGGCCGAGGTTTCGCATTGGACGAAACTGGCACCAATTGTGTCGGTGAGTTGGAGATTTCTGATGTTTACGATAAATATTTTGTCAGTGTATACGATAAATATATTGTAAGATTTACAGCTGCATTTGTGGAAGCAAAAATGAAACGTAATATTGATGTTCCACACGCAATATAAGTGAATGACAAATGTATTGATAGAATGTTCTTATGTCCAAGTGGGTTAGACGGAGTGTAGTCTTGAATATGATACACAAATTTATTTTAAGAATGCCATATGCTGCTCTTTTATCAAAAGAAGAAATTTTTAAAGTTTAGATCTTGGATTTGGTGAATCCTCGTGAATAATTGAATTAAGGTTTGCGAAGAATCAGCTTCCAAATATTCGTTTATATTGGTCCGAATCAATCTACTGATAAATATGATTATATTTCTTTGAGTGGTTTCGTGTAGATTGTTTGAATGTTCTCATAAAACCAATTGAAATCGCGAACGTGTTAATGACAATCTGAATATTAAGATTAGTTCGTACCAATATTAACAAAAATATAAAAACGGATTCTGCATAATTCAAGTATTCTCTCAGATTTACCCAGACAGTACAAAAATATTCTACAGAAATGTGATGGTAAAGACAATGCTGTTAAATTTTTGCAGAATTAAATTTAGCCTTAAAAATTTTTTTGTTAGAAGTTTAGTTTATCAGTTATTTATTATTCATATATGTCCCTAAATTCGACATTGAAATAGAAATCATATTCTAAATAAGAATCTGGAGAATAATTGAGGAATGTCTTTGTCATAGACTCTGTTTATCGTCTATAAGAAGAAATTTTGATGCACCAGCCATAAATGTTCTTATTGCAACACTCTAATGGAACGTGCAGACATTGACGAGTGTGCCAGTGGTGACCACGAGTGTACCGGAGGACAAGAGTGCCATAACCGTCGTGGTTCCTACACGTGCCAGTGTCCCACAGGCTTCAGGCTCAACAGAGCGCGCCAGTGCCAAGACATCGATGAATGCTCCACCTACTACGGCGCGGTGAGTGCCGTAGTAGGGCAGGATACGCGGGACATTGTTACCTACCTATGGTTGAGGATAGATATTAAAATATCAAGATCAGTGGAAAAGTATAACCAAAAGTTACTCACATTTCTTGTCCATTTTTGACGTAATTGTTATTTAGATTGCGGCATTTGTCCGGTGCTCAAGCTTGTCAATACCCTCTTAAAATTTTATATGACAGTGTTGTCGCCTATGAATTGAAGTGGGTATTGGCGACGTCTTAAAGTTCTTTGTCGGCAAAGAAGTCTTGTCCTTCACGCCAATTTTTCAATTCATGAATTAGGTGGAAGTCTCACGACGCCAGGTCTGAGCTGAAAGATAAGAAATTTCGATGCATATGAAAATAACAGTATGAAAAATCCGCAGTAGCACTTTTTTGACGATCATAGTCAAGTATGATCTCAGCTGCTGTACGGAAAAGTCTTCCTGACAAATTGTATGGGGACATTTTGAGCGTCCCGCTTACAGCATCGACGTATGTGGCACCGTGAGACCTGTTTGCGAGAGCTTAGAAATTTCCTCTTATAAGGCAATAATTCCTTAAAATTTTTAAGAGCATGAAAGCTAACCGTCATCACAAGAATTTTTCGAAAGTGATAAAGTTGTTAGAAGCGTGTTGCAATGGTCAGAGACTCGTGGTCTCTAATGGTAATGAGTTTATTTAGAAACATGCATAGAAAAAGGAAATGAAAAGGAAGTCATGGGAAAGGTCATCAACCTGCTTCGAACAGGTACACGAGTTAACTTATCCAATGACCAAACTATCTAAATATACCACGGACCTCTCACTAGAATGAGTGAAATTGTGATCAAATAACTGAATGAACGATAAAATTTAAGGAGATTCAGGTAATTGGTAATCAATATTCTTGTTTTTTGATGGTTATTGAATGTTGGAATAGTATATTATAGATTTTTTAATAGGCATGTTCGAGCAACGCTGTGTGTGAGAACACGCCGGGCAGCTTCCTCTGTCACTGCAATGACGGCTTCGAAAAAACCGACGGCGGCAGAAACTGTATCGGTGAGAATCGAACAGCTGTGACGAACAATAAGTGCTGTATGGCTTGGATGATCGGATCATATATAAAAAATGCGCTAAAAAGCAGTCATCCTTTCAAATATCTTTCATTTTATGCTATCTCAAAAACTGTAATATCTCAATTTTCTTCTCTTAGACATTGACGAGTGCGCGCGAGAAGTGAACATTTGTCACCACCGCTGCATCAACGTCAGAGGAGGCTACCAGTGCATCTGCAATGCTGGCTACAACATCGCGGCAGACAACAGGTCAGACGCATCCTTCACTGCATATTATACACATTCAATACTATGAATGTTCTGAATAAATATAGAACGCTTTCTTCGCGTCAATGATAGTAGCGTTGATTTTAGCCCGTGTTGCGCTCTATCCTCATAATTACAAATTCGTTAAACAAGCAGTGCTGCTTCATGAGCGCTTCATTCGGTCCGGGTTTACAGATGGTGGCAAGAAAAGGACCTCATATGTTTCTGATGGCCAGCTTATTTGGAAGAAGGCTCAAATAGGCGAATTTGGTCGAAAAAGCCAATCTTTTATTGAATTTCTTTCTCCAAACATGTCCGCTAAATTGGCAGGTCATTTGAAGCAACACGAATTTCATCGTTTTAATCTGTATCCAAAACCCTGGCTTCTTGCAGTTTTGATTGTAAAACCTCGTTATTTTGGTTTCGCCGCTCGAGACGCGCTCCAGTAAGAATATATTTTTTTTACTGGTACAGAAAATGTAATGCAGTTCCTGAGGCTTGTGCTTTGGTCTTGACAACATTTTGATGAGCATTATTCTCATTATTTCTGAGCAGGAGTTGCGTCGATGTAGACGAGTGCGAGGAGACGCGGCTGAGAGGCAAGGGCCGCCTGTGTGTGGGTGTGTGCGACAACACGCCGGGCTCCTTCCAGTGCACTTGCCCGCCTGGCTACTCCCTCCAGCCTGACCTGCGTACCTGTAAAGGTGATCGCAGGGCTTCCTGTTCAACGGTTGTCTGCACTGTGGGACTGATGCCTCGTCTCCCGAATCTCATCGCTTGTGTCGATAATTATAGGCTTTCAATAAATGTTAATAATAATGGTAGCGGGATCAGCAGTAATTTAGCGAATTACTCGGTGTAAATTTATCTGGTAATTTGCTCGAAAAAAATGGGGAAAAAATTACAATTTTGTTCTTCTAGATAATTTTAATGTGTTACACTTCCCAACCCGTTTTTATGTCCTAATTATGGACACGGAACAAAATAAAAAACGGCTCACTGCATGAACGTTGAGTAAATTCTCGTAATTTCGTAGCTAAGGCTCTTTATATCAAAGCATTAAATTCGCTGTTATGTATCACGGGCGACACAAACATCAATGATTTCGCTGCAGACAACAACGAGTGTGAGCGGGAGGGCGTGTGCCGCGGTCCCAGCGAACAATGCATCAACACGCGCGGCAGCTTCAGGTGTATGGAGATTGCCTGTCCCTCAGGATACGTCCGTGACACTACCCATAAAAGGTCAGAACTAAATATATCAATATTCATCATTATTCGTCAAAACATATTTTCCTAACAAGTACTCATCTAGAACGTACTTGTAGCATTATGAAATATATTGAAATTTGTCATGTACAATTTGGAGGCGGCAAATTTATTTAATGTAATAGGTAGCTAGGTATGATAAACCTTCTGTATTATAGACGTTTTGAACATTGTAATTTCACAATTTATGGAAGGAGTAAATTTATAATCCCCAGAAACATCGAAGCTAACTTCCACAAGCCATTTTTAAATTTTCTCTGGCTAAATAAAATCAATAATCTCAAATCGAAGGCACAATAGCATATTATTCTATTACGTACCCTTCAAATTGTACATGCACAAGGTATCTTCCTTTGATCCGACAGCCGGTGCAAAAAACGCTCCCTGTACTGCCGGCAAGACGACATCTTGTGCCACCGACAGCCGCTGAGTTACTCGTACAACTTCCTGCCGCTGGTGAGCAACATGTCGCTGCCCACCACCGGTCAGGTCGACCTGTTCACTATGCGAGGGCCTCTGTGGGCCACGTCCACGGTGCGCTTTGCTCTTGAGCTGGAGTCTGTCAGGTCTCCTACAGGCATCCAGCCTGCCGTGCGGGACTCCTTCACACTAAGAAGGACGTCCATCAACCAGGCCGTAATATCTCTGCAACAACAGCTCGAGGGGCCCCAAGAAATTCAGCTGGCGCTCAGCATGAAGCTGTATCACGGTAGCGAGTATAGCGGGTCCGCGGTGGCCAAGCTCCTAATACTTATATCCGAGTACGACTTTTAAAATGCCGTGTAAATCCAAATGATCCAACAGACTAGTCTGTTACAAACTTTTCTGTAGGTAGTTAGAGATTTTCTGTCTTGCTGTGTATAGTAGATTGTGTAAGATAAACCATACACTTTCGATATTATCTATTTAATCTACGCAACTTTGGGCATTTATAATTACTAGTTTATGCGTTCAAGTTCAATGGGCCCTTATTGAGCTTAATTCCATCAAAAGGTAACAAAATTGAACACTTCCACTTCGCTGGAAAAAATAAAAGCAAGTAATTTACATTTTTTAATACTGTTCATAAATTAATTCGGAATAAAGCCGGAAATGAGATTCGTAATAGAATCGATTCAGTTTATTAATAAGGAAATACAGTGCCCTTAAATGCTATCTTTTTGAATATATTCTAACCAGCCCACAATCTTTTAATCCCAAGCTGGCAAGTAAATCTAGTAATTGTCAAGTAAACATTTTCATGCAAATGCGCCACGCAAAAGCTAATACATAAGCACGGACACGTTATTACATGTCACTTTATCAACATACGTGAAGAACTTGCCATTGGTCACAAAGGTAGAGAATTACATTGTTATGTACATCCTCAGTTAAATAGGATCAATAGGATCTGAATTTTCAGTTCAGAGGCAACTCGCTACCAGCAGCATACTGGCAGGTTTCTGCGCTTAGCACCCACCAAAATTTTCCTAATTTTCTAGGCCTACGTCGCCAAATGATGCATCAACATTAATTGGAATATCCAAGACGTTCGACGGTTTTAAGTTATTCGACCGAAGTTCCATCGCCGTTGAAATGCATATATGCGTGTATATACTATATAAATATATTATGCTTAACAACCTCTTAATCTCAAGCTGGTTGGAAAATTTTGAAAACAATTGGTGAGATCAACTTAAGTAAATATAACCTGCCACTTGGATTTGAAATAATAATATATAACTCCCATCCTACAACTAAAAGGAACATTAGGCACATGTGTGACGACGACCATGAACTCACAGCACTTATTGTACGGCAGAAAAAAAGTAGAAGCATTTGCAGGCTTGTAAGTCAAAGTAATAACATTAAAAGTATAGCAGAGGCGCTCCATAATTATATTACTTACCATCCTTTATCGCCATAGGGCAATAGATCGACAAGAGGTTTACTTCAGTAACAACGCTGTCTTGACGCCTAAATTGCTTCCGATTCGTGCATCGGGCTTTAGTCTTTATTAAAAGCCCTAAAAAAGGTAAATGTTACATTAAATTGAGAACAAATTTGCTGAGCGCATATGGTCCTATGACGGATGGTCCCAACAAAGGCGGCAACGTGCAAGGAAGCGCATGCATTATTAAATAGAACAGCAAGTCTTGTGACCGTATTGACGGTATTGGGTAACTTAATCCAACTTCTTATTAGAACACTTTATATATATTGAATAACAAACTAGAGGCTAGTAGAAAAGTTAAACTTTCGATTATTTCATCGAGAATTTCCATCAAGTTGAGCTTTTCTAAATTTTGTTTCGCAATAATCACCGATATCTGGCCAGAACAATGGCGCGTGTATGTATAATTTGAGATCAAAAATTTTCATTTCATCAAATTTTTAGGCCTGTTGTAACGAGCCTCTCATGGATAATTGAGCGTGAGACGCTGCAGGATGAGTCAACCCACCAGAGGTTCAGCGTCCAATAGAAGTCAACAGGTGGAACACCTCAAACTTATTTTAGACCGTCACAGAGCAATAAAGATACGTACCGTGTAGAGATTACCAACAGATACGAATATTTTATTGTACGTCTACTAACGTAAACTTATGAGTATTTAGTGGTCTTACTTAGAAAAAAAAACAATATATTAGTATTCTTCTCATTTCATAATTTTAAATAAATTATAAATTAATGTCCCATACTGAAATATATACATTGAACTTATTTAACAGGTAGAGGTGTGAGGTAAGAGATAAGGCGCCAGGCAAACGGCGATTTCTTCCAAGAACTTTTCTGAGCACGAAGTGACTAGAACTACAGCGCCGGCTGGTCGAGTTCTTAGATTCTAACTGACGATTCCAACAGAAAATATTAATCCGAAATTCATCTCCGAGCGGAGTATTGAATTTTTTTATAATTTTAATGGCCTAAGGTCTACAATTGAGATGGAATGCAATCTCGTATTTGGTTGGAGGCCCGAGTAGTCTGCCAGCAAGAAATTGTTAAGGTACCTTCCAGGAATATCATTTCCAATAAGTGGCCATTGAATGGATCAGTTCCATACTAATACAAAATGAACAGCAGAACAAATATTCAGTATAGAATGAACGCATGCATCTTAGATCTAGAGCTTTAACCGCAGACGACAGTTGTTATCGCAACTGAAGAAAGCTTCCGATTATAGTCGTATTACACCGTGCATATATGTAACTTCTTAGAACCAGTGGTCATACAGGAGATAGACAAAATTAGAAAAAACACCTTAAAAATCCACAAAATATACTCTTGTACGGCGTAAGTCTACCTTTTGCAGCCTCAATTCCCCGAGGTATTGATTGATACAAATTGTGAATTGTTAGTGTGTGGCTGACACTTGCCAAATGAGCACCAACAATTTGGCCGCTTTGAAAGTCGGAGAAGTTTGCCATTTTATAAGGTTATAGCAACAAAAAACTCTAAAAATATCCGAAGAAGCTTAAAATATCAGCTTGCCACATTAATGAATAATAAAAATTAAAAACCAAGTTTTCATTGTTTATAACATGTTCAAACATTTTCATCTGAAAATGTTTCCCTCATTTTGTCCAGCCCCTGTAAGTTATGCAACAATCTAGACACGTATCAACTACAGACAAATCACAATGTTCGACAATTTACCTTAATTAAACAATGGTTATACTGGCCTATGTCAATTTTATCTGAAATTATTCTAATTACAAAAGTTGAAATTAAAGAATCGGAATCTTACAATAGAATGAACATAAAACTAGAAGAATTTAATGAAACTATACTTGGTCAGCTCAAGCGTATTTCATTGCAGAAGCAAGAAAGATAGTACGGTAGTAAAAAATAAAGGATAATCGTGCCACGATAAAATTCTAAATACAAAGTAACATAATCATCAAAAATAACATTGAATACTTTTATTAGTTTGTAGTAAATAAGGCTTTTCAACATTTGATGCACTTCTATACATAAAACACTTCTAGTTTAAATATAAATAGCAGCATAAATCGCCGTAGCTGAAGCTTAACAACAGCAACTAATTTCATAACACGTTCATGATGATCGATGCGCCACGTTCAACTTATGAGATCAGATCCATGTTTATAAACGAAATGAATATATAATTAAAGTTATAATATGATGTATTAAGCGTTACATACTTACACTCGGGATGAACTTAAACCTAGGATTTAGTTATATTTAAATATAAAAAGAGTTCAACTCAACAAACAGAGATCACCTGAGGTCCCGGGAGATAGAGAGATCAACAACAGATTTGAGATCAGAGGAACATTAATTTCAATAACAAATCCCCAAATCTCCTCCATATAAATAGCAACAAGAATTACAGATAAGTAAAATAACTTTGGTAATGATGAGATGACAAGATTATACAACACTAAAACACACGAAAATACAGTAAGCGCTGAAAAACATAAAATTCGTTAACCACGACACCAATTACAAAATAGTCCGCCAGCATCTGCATATATACAGTGAACTGTAGGATCATACGCTTCTGAGGAGTCTATGACAAAATTCTTAGCCAATTTTTGAGCCATGTAGTTCACAATTGTGATGCAAGTAATTACGAATTAATGTCAAATGAGGAAAGCCAAGATCACGTGCTCTGACTTAGTTGAAGAAACAATTTTGAGCTCATCTGTAGTCGGGAGTCGAAATAAAATATTACTAAGAGGCCATTGCAACATCAAGAAATGGTTCCGTCCTACACAACGCAATATCTCTCTGAGCTTTTTCTTAAAATTATTCAGACTTTAGTGAAAGAAGACAGCAAACATGCAGAAGAAAGGGAAAATCAAGGGGCGTTGCTGTCGAAGCCACAAGTGCAGCGGTACGCGGGGTAGGCGCAGCTACTAAAACGGGCACAGACATAGAAAGCCTGATGTAACGAGCCTCTCAAGGATAAATTAGTCTGTACACAGCACCATGTCGGTCTAAATATAACAGACTGACGATTACAATTTAAAAATAAAAGAAGTAGGAATCTTCAATCTACAAATTATAGAATGCTTTAGAGGGTAGACCAATTTCAAGAAAAAAGTTATGGCAAAAAAGTTATGAACACAACTTTTGGTGAATGGAACAACTGGCAAGAAGGCATCACAATTATTGGTCAGCACTTCAAAACTCTTCATTCAGTTATGTTGAAAATGTGACATAACTTTAGTTCGGGACAATATCGAGGACAGAAAAAAAACAGCATAAATGATAATATGCTCGTTAATTTCTGCCCCGATACTTGAAATAATTTCTAACAAGAGATTATTCCCAATTATAGGCCGCCATAGACGAGTAGATAGGTTTCTGACAACGGTCACCCGGAGCAAGCTGATAAGGCAATCACTAAACCATGACGTTCACGTCTCGGCAAGGCGTTGACAGAACGAACGTTGCCGTCCCAAGTCACCTGCGTTGAGCGGAGTCCCTGCACACTGGCAGGGACGAGGGCCGCTGCGGTCCCACGCAACTTTGGATGGTTGTTGGTCGTCCTGTCGCATGACTGCCAGAATGGCTGGCAGCCGACGAGCCGTGGCTCAACTCTGACACATCCGCTCCGTCGTCGTGTGAGGTCGTGGATGCATCCAGAGCAGTTGAATTCCGGTCCAGGCCATCGCCTGACTCATTATCAGCTTTGTTAACTGTAGCAGCTTCAACCTCGCTCTGACTAACTGCTACTACGTCACATGCAGAAGTAGACCCCGATGAGCCCGTTGCCACGATGTTAGATGTGAGAGCCGTTATGGAGGATGTCAAGGATGACAAAGACTCGGTGAGAGCCACAGAATTTTGCACGCACATTGTACCTTGCTGCCCTGATGTAGGTACTGCATTCCCGTCGAGTTTGGTAGTTGAGTCGTCTCCACCCAGGGGATTTTGAGAAGACGAGAGTGAAGGTAGCGGGGAACATGAAGTTGACTGACTCAGAAGTAGCGCTTGAGACGCGGGCAGCTGGCAGAATGCGTTCATTACTTGGCTCACCATTGACAGAGAGTCTTGCAGAGTCACCACCTGCGAAAATAACGAACACAACTTTTGGTGGAAGAGTATGTCAGAGCTAACGTACCAACGAAATAATGAGTGGTTTTCCTGAAAATTTAATGTATTATTACACGCGCATAGACCCGCGTGTCTTGCTTTTGCGTCGCACCCCCAATGTTTAAATGAGCTAAAGGAATTTTCATAACACACATTTCATTTTGAACACACAAAAGGCTACAGTTTCAGCCCATGTAACCATCACAATTGATTAACATATAAATGAATTTTAATGTAATTAAAAAATGTTCAAAAGCGTCACTGCTAAATTTAAAGCCCAGTGCCCATTATGTCTGACCTGCCCCTGCAGTTGGTTACAGAACTGCGTGAGATCCTTGACGGTGTCGTCCGTGGACCGGCAGGAGGAGGAGCGTTTGCTGCCCAGGCTGCCCTTGGGGAGAAGAGCGTCCATTGGGGTTGAGGGCGTCAGCGGGGTGCTGGAGGGGGTCGATGCTGGGGTTGTCCGGCCGGTCTGTAGTCGTCCAATCTGATGAAGAAGAGCAATGATAAGTAAAAAAAAATATTTATTCATGACGTAAAACAATATAATAACTGAGAGTTAATGAAGATAATTGTCAACGGAATTGCAGAACAACAAGCAATTATACATTATAACAAGCACACTCACTTGCCGCCAGAGGGCGCGTATGGCTTCCAATTGGAGGTGACGAAGGCGACGCTCTCTTTCCAACGCCTCCTCAGCCCGCTGCAGTTTGCTTTGTAGCACTCTACAGGATAAACTAATCATTAACGTTTCAACCAATTATTAATAAACGAGAGACGAGAATAAATGGACGAACACACAAGAACGCGTGAAAGCTTGTATTACTGACTCCATTCTCAAGTTACTCAATCTGATCGGAAATTAAGGGACATTTATACTTGTTCACTTGAAATTTTCATTTGGTTCACCAAGTTCCTGCAGATTTTTTTGCAACAGAATTTATGATAATAAATACACAAAATAACGAGAAAGTTGCCGCCAGCGAAGCCTGACCTGATGTGCTCCTCAGCGCGCGCCTGCCTCATCTCCTGCCTGACGGAGACGGCGGCAGGATGCTTCTGCCTCACGCGGTATCCTCGCCAGTGTCGCTGTAGGGTCACGGCAGCTGCCTCCTCCTCTGTGAGATCAGGGCACGAGAAGGTGGTCTGGCGAGACACTGAGGAACAACCACCTCTGCTCTTCCCTTCGTCATGAAGTGCAGGCCGAGATTTGCTGGAGGAGCGTTGAACATTGCCATGGGTCGTGGTAGCGCCGCTGCGAGACGCGCTGCTGCTGCTGCGGCTTGAGCTTCCTCCGCCACGACCGTCCGCGCTATGAGCACTCTCTGTTCAAAACAAACGGTCATATAAATATATTCGCAACTGGTAGTTTAGCCTATTTGTATGAAGGATGTCATGAAATAAACACCACCAAAAAGCTTAAAGTATCTAGATAGACATAAAAAATTTCTAACATAAAAAATCGTTTATTATTCTAAAAAAATGACTCAGAAAAAGGCGCGTTCAAGAAGGCGGTAATGGAAAAGAGCAGCATTAACAGCACCGAAAGACGAGCAAGGAAGAAGAAGAAATCGATGGAAGGAAACAAAAACGAAGACATATACAAGGTTTCTTACAAGAGTTGTCGGCCAACAACACGGAAGAGGTTGTGCAGGGTAGTTTAAGGAATCACAATATAGCCCCCTCCCATAACAGTGAGACGTTACATTGTTTTTTTTTTTTTGTGGCAAGAGACACATTTTTGGCAAGAGAGATACAAGCTAAGTCAGGGATACTAGATAAGTAGGATTAAGTGCGGAATACTCCTTTAAGGACCTGGCCTGTAGTTGTCCGGGTTGTAAGGCAGGCTCTGTTGGCGGATGTTGTAGATAGAATGACTTCCCTCATGTCCAGCAGCACTTCCAGGTTGGTCTGTACGAATAAAAAGTCTATGAATAACTTGAGAATTAATCAATTGCAATGAATTTGACTTTACCAACGTTTTCGAACCTTGATTTGGCAATCAATCTTGTCAGCTGTCTGACAAGAACAACTATCAGTCGCATAGACAAATTTTGGTGTACCAGATACTCATCATGAGTAAGTATTTTTCATCGTTTTTATGACCGCCCGCTTTCGGTTTACAAGGCAAAACAAAACAAGACAATTTCCTCTTCCATAGAAAATTGTCAGTTTCTTTCAAAGCGGTCACAATTCATTCATCCACGTCCAGCCTAATGTTACTGGACCTCGTGAGATTACCACTAGTTCATAAGGAGCAATAATTAATTGCTATCTATATGACAAGTTATTTGCTCTATATGACGAGAAATATAGTTAGCATTAGCAGCAGAAACAAATACGTGAAGAAAGTTAAGATGAATAGAGACAAATACAGTACCTTTAGCGGACGGTGCTCCGTACTGCCGAGGGGGAGTTGGGTCTCGTCCGCGTTCAGTCATGCGACGTTCAGCAGCGATGCTCTTGATGGTCTGCAGCTTAGAGACTGACACTTCAGAGTCCGTGTTGTCGGAGTCAGAGCAATCGTCAGGTCCGTGCTGGGGGTAGCTCGTCGAGATGCTCTGACTGAAACATCAATCGTTGATACAAATCAACAACTGCGGGAGAACTATAACTCACGCCTATACATCAAAACCCACACAACTTTAGGGAAGCTGCTCTCCCTGGGTGCTTCAGGATCACTAGTAATTATACAGCCAAATTAAATTACAAAAAAAAATCAAAGATTGCATCATTCAAACATCAAACACAACAGCAGAGACAGCCAAGAAAACAAATAAGAAATATATCACAGCAATATTTCCAACATGAAGAGTTGGTAACCCACGGAGGAGGGTTGCCCCGGCCTCGTGGGGCTCGCAGGGTTGGCTTAGGGGAAGTTGCGGGACGCGCAGAAGGCAGGCGTGGCGACTCGTTCCCCAGGCCAGGTCCTTTAGCCCCGGCACTTCTAGCGCGGCAGTTCCCCAACTGATCATTATGAGAAATATCAGCCGAGTTAAAGGCTGCCAATATTCATCATACTGATAATGCAAGTTGCGAATTGTTTCAATACATACACCCGATGAACCTAAAGATCAACTAACATGAAGAACTCGACTAATAATGTGCACACAATCTCTGTTCGCGTTATTTCGTCTACAAGTTTTACATTACAAGTGCATTAAACTTAAAGTAGCATTTCATTAACACGAATAGAATAGGAACCTACAATACACAATTGAGAACGGATAACATAACTAATCGAAATCGACGGCAAGTGAATAATGAAAGAAAATGTAATGGGCAGAGGGAGCAGCCAGCACCTTGGGAGACGCCATGGCTGTGGTTGGCTGCGATCGTGGGGGCGGCGCCCCGCGTGCAGCTCCTGAGCGCTGGAGGCCGCTTCTGGCGCCCTTAGGAGCACTCAGCTCCTGCTGACGGTGATCTGCTGCCTGGTGCGAGGCCTGGTGAGCTGACATCCCTGGGTGATGGGGCAGTGACTGAGGAGCTGCAGGGGAGGGTTGCTGCGGCATGGAGTGGTGGTTCGGTGGTAGCGGCGGCGGCGGCTGCTGCTGTTTCCTGGGTGATGGGGCAGTGACTGAGGAGCTGCAGGGGAGGGTTGCTGCGGCATGGAGTGGTGGTTCGGTGGTAGCGGCGGCGGCGGCTGCTGCTGGTGCTGAAGCATGGCATGATTGTGCGGTGGCTGCTGCTGGGGAATCATGGACTGATGCTGTGATTGCTGCTGAAGGAGTGTGGAATGATTTTTGAGTGTTTGTTGATGCTGCTTGTGGACATTAGCCGCATGATTAGCAGGCTGCTTATCGTAATTTTGCTGAACGAGTTGCGGATGCTGATGAAAGATGTTGTTGGAGACATTATTGATGGGAGGACGATGGGGAGCTGAGGCGGGGCGGTAGGAGTGAGACCCTCCAGCAGGAGATCGCTGCTCGGGGCTTATGACGCTCTCGGGGGCGGGCACGAAGGAGCTGCTGCCGCTTAGTTGCACGGCGCCCTCTCCTGCAGACAAGACCATTATTGTAGTCACAATAGACAAGCAACATGCATCACGATCAATATAAACTCCTCCCGTAGATGCTTTGAACACACGCACACGCATTTTTACTCTAGAATGGCTTGGCTATTCAATGTTACAACTTTAGTTATTCACTTCTTCACCCGGAACAGTGAATTTAGAGAATGTAAATTAATTCATCAATGATTATAACTTGGTTTTATATTTATAATGAAAATACCTAAAATCTGTCAACGGATAATATTATAGAAAAAATTAATTACAGTACTTGAGAAATTCAATTTATTTTCCACTGAATAAAGAGATGATTCTTCGTAACAAATTTAGAAGTTCGTAGCTATCAGAGATGGCAACAAGAGTTTGTGTCAGAAGGAGCAACATACAAACTGGAGAGACTATAAATGTAAATTATTGTGCCACAGCCCATATCGTGGGAGAGTGCTGCGGCAAATACTTGCGGAAAAACATCGCTTGCACTGGACATGCTAGTACATGGAGAAAGCATGTAATCGTTTGCACTTAGATTCACTCCTAAGCATGGGACTTGGAAGGGGGGGACTTGGCCACCTCATATGAGACCTTTGCATCAAACAGCTCATAGTCTCGTCTTCATATTTTCTTTCCTCTCATTCCTTTTTACGTCCATCCTCCCACCCTCACACCAAGCATTTCCCACCCCTGCTACCACCAAACATACGTTCATACTTGGGCATGGCTCTCACTATTATTATTATTCTACGAAGCGATTGTTATGGCGAACAGAGGAAATTCGAGGGCAGGTTGCACCCAAGTTAAATAGAAGCGAAAAATAAAAAGACAAATACACACGTTGGGTCGATAGCACTGGCACCCATGATGATTAGTAGCAGTGAACTTATGCACTTGAAATGCATAATTACTACGTATACGAATGCTGTCATTCTCATCCTAATTGTCCTTAGTATATAATTTTTAATTTCTTGTGTATCCTGACCGGCTTTTTAATCACATTCACAGCAGGGAACGCAAAATGTTCCTTATACCTAAGAGTCTGTCTGACCATGATTGCCGTTAGGTCAATACGTGAACTCCATCGTTTCCGCACAATTTCATCATATAGAGATCTAAGCCATACGTAATCTTCACTAGAATGGTCAAAGCAAAAGATCACTCTTACTGATACTTTGAGTCACGCTAGAAAGGTTCGGGTATTAGTACAGAAAATAATCAACGCAGAGGATATGAATAAACCTGTAGTCTATGTAATGGAATGGATATCTTAACTAAATCATGAAATTTGATGGCCTTTAATAATAATCACAAAAATGAGATAGTGTAGGTGTTTCAACCTAAAAATAGTGTAGGTCAAAACACATGAATTTAAACGCACCAAGAAATTAAAGTTTGAAATCAATTCATTTATCTTAAAATTGAAAAAAACCGAATGATTTATATCCCATCAAGTATAGAAAGTCAACAATAATAGGAAGATAAAGCAGAGGAAACAGCCATGTCAAGAAAGCAAATCTATTAAAAATTTTATTTTTAAGAGATCCCCAAGATTAAAGTTGTAAACTCACCATACTGGCGGTACGAGTTCTCGTCCTCATAAAGACAACCAGGTTGCGTAAGGTTGTCGTTTAGACCGTTCGTGAGACTGTAACTCTGTTCTTCAGACCGCCACGCATCGTGGTAGCTCAGAGCCATCCGGTCACTAGATCTGGACTCGGCATTAACATGAGGAAGCGATAATTTCTGGGCCAGTTGCTCAGGACCCAGACTCTGGGTCATGCTAAGCGGCACACCCGAGTGAAGAGAAGCTGGCCCAGACTCCTCTGGGTCCATGTTGGTCGTCACAAGCTGCTGACTCCTGCCACGAATGATAGCGTTACAATCGTCTACTTATCCCAGATTGAGCCCAGTCCGACAAATAAAAAATAAAACAATGACACTGTAGTGAATTTTTAGTAAAACTTCTTAACAAATCAGTGAACTCATCGTCTCCTCTTGATTCACAACGAATGACAGGCCAAGTGATTTATCTTAGTGAACTCTCTCTTAATCTTGTTACTAGGCTTAGTCGAGCAAGAAACTTCAGTAGTTGATGAGGTAAAACTATTAAAATGGTTAGAATAATTTTATGTTGGCTTAAAATGTAAAATTTGTTCAGGTTTGTTGCACCGGTATGTACGAATGCTATAGAGGCGCTCAGGTGGCCTAAAAGTGAGGGAGGTAAAAACACTGGGCAGGCTAGCGGTAAAAACACTGGCCAGGCTAGAGGTAGGAACACTAGGCAGGCTAGCGAAAGAAAATATAGACAAGCCCACGGAGCTGTCTCACACAGAGGAGACAAGGAGTGGGTGTAAGGGCAGGGGATGAGGTGCTGGTGGGATTTTCCAGCATCTGCTCACTCGTGACAGGCAAGGCTGGGGAACGAACGAGTAAAATACCAAGGATGGGCCGGCGCTGAGTGGTAGAGGCGGGATTCGGCTAAAACCTAAAGCTTATTAAAACCCGACAAACATTTCGATCAAACTCAAAAGGTAGAGGTAGTATTAGGGTAGGAGTAGAGGTAGTATTAGGGTAGGAGTAGAGGTAGTATTAGGTTAGGAGTAGAGGTAGAGAGCACCGCCATTCACCGGCTGGGAGCGAGGCCAGAGACGAGCGCCTCTTGCAGTTGCTCAGCCCCCAGGGAGCGAGTCATCACAGACGCGGTCATGGCGCCCCCACCGAAGAGGTTGGGGGAGGCCCCGTCACCCAAGGGCCCCAGCAACATGGATGGGTCCATGCTCTGGGTCATGAGTCCTCCACACGGAGCGTCGGGAGTCTTCAGCCCTCCGCCGTACAGCGTACTCGACAGCTCTACGTGATACTTCGGCTCTTGTTGCTGTTGCTGTAGTTTCTGCAGCTTCAAATGTTGCTGTTTCGTCGGTAGGAAAAATCTTTTACAAAATCTGGTCTTTTTTTAAATAAATAATCTACATTATTTCATTAAAGTTTATAGGACAGGATATTGGTGTACTCCAATTTACTACCATATAACCTGTAGTTTAAGACAGAACAATGCTCTGCAATAAATTTAACAATGCCAACTGTCCAGTTCCCACGCACAAACCCAAACGCTCCTCGCCCGTGACTTGAGAAGCGTCCATTTTGATCATCATATTGAGTAACTGGTTTGAATCGAGATGACTCGATGCACAAAATTATTTTTCAACAGAAATGAATTCTATATTTTTCCGGCCTCTCATCTCAAATCTTTAATTTTAGTTAGCATAACACAGTAAGTATGAGCTGAAATAAATTTCAAATAGGAAGGTGACGCGAGCTAACCTGTTGGCAAGCCGCCCTCGCAGCGCTGCGGCGGTCGGCCGGGCAAATACGCGTCGGGGCTGTCAAGGCAATGCAATAAATAATGCTTAAAAAATTAACGGGAGTTTCATCGTTAAGAAAAAAAAATTATTTAATTAACTCCCACGTTCGAATTAGAAGTAAGTATGGTTGACATGGCTGATAACGCTATCAGATTAGCAAGATCGATAAAAGGATACAAATGATTTAAGGCTAACGTTATTTAAACAATCGGCTAAAATCTTTGTTCGATAAATCAACGACGTATTGATTAGGTTTAAAACAAATAACATGACAAGCTTGGTCTTACATCGGTCAGATCATGAAAATCCCACTGGATTGAAGCTCATTAAAATGTGCTGGGAACTGATAAGTCAAGAACTGAATACATACTTTTCAGGTCGGCGTTGTAGAATTAGGTCCCTTACTCAACTCATTAACTGCGAGAGTTAAATATGGCGGACGGAATAGACGTTTTAAAAATGCTAAAGATTTCAGCTAAAGATTTCAGCTAAAGATTTCAGCTAAAGATTTCAGCTAAAGTCTACAACTAAAATGCGGAGTGCGGAGGCTCAATTAAATGAGTCACTAACTAGTCAAAATAGAGTATTGAAAATTTGTATTTTAATGCTAAAGATCTTTGATATGTGAACCGGCAGCCAGTCGATCTAGAGGACGTGACTTGAAGCCACGAACCATAAATATAGTAATCACGCAAAAAACGCATCACGTGCCAAATTTAGGACCAAGGAAGTGTGTGTAATCTATATTGAGGAAAAATTAACATTCTACCTAAAAACCAATTTTTAAGCATTAGGCAATTTTGTCACAAAATTGCCATGGCTATGGTTATTAAAAGTGGCATTTGTAGGAGAAAAGCTATAGTTCTTGTAGGGCAGATAAGACAATACCTAAGCCGGCAGCACTGCAGTATCCAGGAGTGAGAAGTGAACAACGCAGACAGCAAACTGCCATTAAAAAGTCATGTGTATATAATCAACTAAATAAACTGAAATTCACTGCTCAATCCGTAAACAAGATTCAGCTTCAAAGTTAACAAACCAGAAAACGACTTTGAAATATTTTTGATCGACTTCGTTCAATGTCATTTAATTTATCTAAACACCATTTTTTATGTTTCCCTGGATAAATTTCAGGTTTAGTCTATGAACTTGAACAAGGTTATATCTTATGTACAAGATTAACAAGAATAGCATGACTGACCGGTATGGCGGCGGTTGTGGGGCGGTGGCCGAGAGTGTGTAAAGCGGCGGTGGGTGGCGGGCGACGAGTGTTGCGACACCGACAGCCCGCGACCACTGGCTGGTGCTGCCCCACATGCTGCATTTCTGATGCCAATAATAATAATAATTCAATAGTAACTTGCAGAGCACAAGTTTAATATACAGAAAATGTAAGCCAGAAAAAAATAAGCTAGAGGCACGTATGAGCAGATAGTATTATCGGCAAGTATTTTCCACTTAGAATATTGGGCTAAAAATTAGAAGAAATTAGCCCGATATTCGAAGTGAAAAGTACTTGCCGCGATCACTATCAGCTGATACTTTTTCATGGCATAAGCATCTTATAGTTCACTGCTTAAATTACTACCAGTGTAAATGAACAACTGTAGAGCGATTTATATGGAAAATTGAGGAACATTTCATGAAACAGTTACTATTTATTCGGCAAATAATTAATGTAGGTGCAAATCATAACTAGAATAAAAAGGCTTAGCTCACCCAAGAGAATTGTGACCGCCTTCCCCATCCTCCTTCTGCCGCAGGTCTTGCTGATGCTGCTTGGCAAGTTGCAAGATTTTGACAAGTTTGTGATCAGTCTCGGGGAGTGCGGCTCCCCCCCAGCCTCCCCCCACCAGACACACCCCACTCAGGTACTGAACTAAAGGCCCGTGCTCGCCCAGCTGAAAACCGCGGCCGCGACCTTGTGAGTACAGCCACTCTCCCTTCAGGCTGCCAAGAGAAACGTAGTGCACTTTCAAACTTTAATTCGAACAGGCAATTCAATACTCCTGTTATCCTAACCCCATTTCTAAAAATTGGCTAAATTATTGCACAGTTGCAATATTATTGCAACGTTTCAGTCTTTTTGAACATAATTTATCTAAATTGGGAAAATGCTCCATACAAAAAACCGCTCTATTCCTCAACTGTTCTTCCCTTTTGAAAAACCGCTCTATTGCTCAACTGTCTCTTCCCTTTTTTTATGGCGAAGGATTGGAAAGTCAACAGTAGATCGTAAATTAAACGTTTTGTCGAAGTTCTTTCTTATAACAGTATTTACATGAAATATTACAATTTATTCTTCTTCATTCTTCGTTAAATGGTTCAAAAATATTAGGATGACAGAAAACATTTTATTCTACACGACAATGCAGCACAATGGTTAAAAAAGTTTATAGCAACGCGGTATGTCAACTCGTAAGCTAATTTGCTGCCTAGACTTGAGCAGTCAAACCGACAGCTCCGCAACACTCTGCTCTGGATTACACTGCTTTGGTTCACTGCCTGCACACAACTAATACTACTGAAAAACAACAGATACTACTGCTGAAGGACCGAACTGCTGATAATTTCTATCAACAACTGTAATAGTAGTCACAAAAGCATAAACGTGGTGCAGTACATGATGCGCAAATGACGTAAATATCACATGACGCGGCTACCTAACACCTGTCGCCAAATACAGCTCATTAAATATGAAAAACTAATTATTGTTTCAAAAAATTAGTTGAATAATATGACAGGAAAAGGGGGAAGACTTTTTAATAACTTCAATTGCAGAGACAATTTCCTGTTATTCACGAAGGTAGTATGGTATTAAGTTGAAAAATAAGGCTAAGTCATTCCAAGTGTTGATTTTTAGCATGAAATTCGAGACTATGACCCACCTCTCCATGGGAGTAACTTTATAGCCATCCAACACCTTGAGGTTGAGACACCAATTGATCACGTAGGGACGGTAGTCAAACGCCAGAGGTGCTCCAGTAGGTCGACCAGTTTCATCTGCATAAGAAAAGTGAAAATTCTCATTTTAAACGCATAATAAATTTGAGTTAAAAAAAAAAACAATCGCAAAATGTATTCCTCAAAATATGGATTTAAATAAAGATTTAATTCAACTGGCCACATAAAAATTATTAGGTTAAATATTCAGGACGAAATGTAAATTTTCGTTTGATTAAAACAAAATTTAAATGATTTATCTATGTAATTATGACCTGTGAGCTGGAAAGGTTGAAGACATGGGTTGTTGAGTATGGTGAACTGCTCGAGGTTGCTGAGGTGTGACAGATGACAGAGATCATTGAGGTCTGCCAGAAGGTTGTCCGACAGCGTGAAGATTACCAACGACGTTGGCAAGTATTTATTACCGCGATTCAAGTTCATCAGGCGGTTACGGTGCAAGAATAATTCCTGAATAGGAAAATAAATTATAAAATGAAACTCATACTATCATTATAATGAAGAATCAGACTAGGTACTTTAGAATTCAGCTACTTGACCCCTACATCAAATTTGCAATGCATGACTAAGGCAACAATGGATGTGATCTAAATTTTGAATTTACAGATCAACAATGGATGTCAGCTAAAATTTGAATTTACGGATCAACTATGGATCCTGTATTTACAATTAAACTCTTATTATTCCTGATAAGTAAACTAATGTGAGAATAGATATTTGTTAGAAGCAAATCTACTCACTTTGAGCTTGGGCAGAGATGTGAGGTCAGAGAGGGCACATATAGCATTACCAGAGAGATTCAAATGTTCCAATTTGTGGCAGTGAGATATTCCATCCATAGTCTGAAAAGACAGTTGATACTAAAAATAATTTCAGGAACATTCATACATCACAAGCTAGGATCATTGAGAGCAGATAGCAATCAATTGCAAATTGTTATGTTGTATCGTGATATAAATTGGAAAGGTAATTGGTATGAAAGAACATTATATGTGATTTATCAAGATGGAGTCATCACAACTAATCATCAGTGATATTAATGCTCAAACTTGCAAGTTATATCTTATGTCTCAACTCTCAACTGCTTCATGTGCCAAATTTAGGACCAAGGAAGTGTGTGCAATCTAAAATGGGGAAAAACTAACTGGAGTACTGTTAATTTTTTCTACAGTAGTAGTAGTAAAACATTAGTTACGGTACTATGCCTCAAGAAACAAAGCATAGGCAAGAGTAAATGTGTCCCTATCCAAATGGTTAATAATAAGGCAGAAGCTTTACCTTGATGCTGTTGGCAGCAAGGTTTAGATGCACCAGGTGCTGGAGTTCTTTAAGGCCTTCCACAGTTACTATGTTGTTGCCAGGCAAGTTGAGAATGCGCAGGGAATACATGCGTGCAAACCAGTACATCCTCATCACTTTATTGTTGCTCAGGGATATCTGAAAACAGTACAAAACTCAACAAACAAACATAACATCAATATTTAATAGGAACAAACAGACTGTTTCCAGTTGCTCAAGTTATGAGATCACATTACATTATTTAACACAACTTTCCTCATCATGTTATGAAATATCAAGTAATGAAATATACATTTAAGATATATAAAATATCAATGATTAATCATCCATTGAAAATTACCTATCTTACAGCTATCTTGAGTAGTTACTATACTTTTACTGGAAAGCAACAAAGTGAGATTAAATTATCATTTGTAGCCAGACTCACTCTTTGAAGTTCTCCATAGCTGTCAAGGTTGGTGAGATTTTGCAGACAGTTGTCATCAAGCACAAGAGCAGTTGCAAAGGCTCTGTTGCTGGGAGCTTTCTCAAGTTTGGTCAACTTGCGACCAGACAAGTCCAAAACAACTTCAGTATCACCTACAAATAAAATTCAAACATTAGGCAATGGGAATGAGTCCATCAACTTTCACAGTATGGTACAATGATTTGAAGATAATTCAAGTTTTTCTGCAGGTTAATCAATGCATGTTGAAGCAAATATTATCTGGTTTTCAATCAATTCAATCATTTTTGCTTTTTTGAAAAAAATTTTCATAGAATTTTTACTGGCTTAGGTTTAGCATGTACCAACTAAATTTGCTGGAGAAATCAATTTCAAAGTAATAAGAAAAATATGAGGTAGACACTAAATGCAAGAAGGAAGTCTCAAGAAAATAAGAGGCATTTGATTGGAATTGGATTAACCAATTCAAAATGAAATGCAGCTGATTGGCTTACCTCCATCATCTGTAGGATCATCTTTCTCATCTTCTGAAAAAGAGAAATAATTAAGCTATGATGAACATAAAAACTCAAGTTAAGATAAACATTAACTAGAAATATGTTCATTTCAGATAGAAGGTAATTCATAGATAGGAGGAGGCAGGAGGCAATTCATTACATCCTAATTCATAAAATGGGTAGCAATTCATCCAGCAAGAATCTCATGGCTCCAAGCCTCCAAAAATGGCTGGAAAGCTCCAGTTGTGGCTTGAAAGATAGAAATATTTTCATGCCAGATGCATGGAATACATAATTTTATCTACCTTTCAAGCCATAACTAGAGCTTTCCTGCCATTTTGGAAGCTGCAAGATTTCTGCTAGATGAATTACGCTTATCTGATTGTTAACAATAACTATTGTGTAAAATTCTTAGACAAGATTCCATTAGTATTGAACATATGTCACTTTGAAGCCACAACTCACAAGATATCATTGAAAAGCCAATGTGGAGAATTGTACAGAACACACCTGTGAATAGGACAAATGCCTATTTCTATGGACATTTCCCAATTTCTTCATAAGAATATAAAATATGGCATATTTCCACTTAAACTCTTTGAAAATCATCAGTTAAATAATCAATTTTACACAAAATTTTAGGAAGCTTCTGCTAAATGTTAAAAATTGGAATTTACAGGTAGTCTGGTAAGGCTGGTAGTGGTTGCTGCCTAGCTGGTAGGTAAATTCTAATCCTAGACAGTGGACAGTAGACACCAGCCTTTCTATTTTTTTACACAGGATATACTGTCAAACCGGGTTATAAGGGACGGTTTTGAGCATTTTTTGTTAATAACTTCTTGCTATGAAACATTTCATAAACAAGTTTGGGCTCATTTTACAGGTCTTTGCAAGGGCTATCATATGGCATTTCCAAAAAAAATCCATATGCTATTTGTAAGGTGCTAGAAGCAATATAAAAGGCTCCTGAATTGTCTGCAAATGGGGTAATAAGGGACACATGAAATAAAACCTAATTTTAAAATGTTTGAAGCATGCAGATTGAACTCATTTATTACTAATGGTACTCTGAAGTCCTTCTCTTCTTTTGTAGATGATTTAAATGTAGGATAAATGACATTTTCTGTAATTTTTACTTTTTTTATATGATTTTACTGTATCCATACGTTACCATATTATTGATGCAATATTACAACATCCATGGACATGCCATTGAGCATTGACAATGACCTTGTCCACAGCAAGCTTCATATCATGATATCAGTAGCCATTTAGCAGTTCTTCTGTATCTGTAAGCTCACAGGATGACTTGTAATTTTGCACAATTTTAATCGAGTCAACTGCACTATAACAAACAAGATTGTAATAAACATACCTGATAACAGGAAGGAATATTTAAGTGACAACCATAATATTTTTGGAGAAATAAATCATAGTTTAGGTTAATTACTTTTCATTCTTTGTTGTGTAGTACTCAATTTTATCACACATTCTCACATTCGATGAACAATTTTGTGAAGACTGATGATGCATTTATTGTTTGCCAAGTGAAATTTTTTTCACTGAGCAAGGTAAACATAGATTTTTTCATTAACTGGAGCCTTTGCTAACCAAAGTTCTACTGTAAATGCATTTAATATAATAAATGTATGATTTCTTAACTTGTTTTTTGGCAGGATTAGAATTTTCCTACTTGTTTCTGAAATCTTGCAGCTCCAAAATGACAAATTTTTAATACAATTGGAATCTTGCAGCCCGATCATGCACTTTTGTTAACAATTAGATAGGAAAAACCAGTAATTCACCTGATGGAAATCTTGTGGTTCCAGAAATGGCAGGAAACCTCTGGTCGAGGACCTAAAGGTAGACGTTTTCCACTTCCACAGTTGCTTTATAGTACTACATAGATAGTAAAAATGTTGAACTTTACACCACTATTTTTAGTTTTGCAACACTTTGATTAGGTAGTTTAGCTGCTACAACATTTCTACAAAATGTCTGAGGGCTGTCCAGTCCCTTATTACAACTACCCCACCCATCCCTTATTACCCGGAATTTACCCTATTTGACGGTAGGTTAAGGTAGCCAATTTGATGAATTTTTTGTTTATACTAGGAAATTAAACATGAACTGCTTTTTCAAAAAACTCTTTTTTGCCATTATGTGGCACTGTGGCAGTATATCATGGCCATGCTTTTAAGTCAAGGCTTCACTTCATGATTTGTTTCCATAAATTCCATTTTCTATTTATACCTGACAATCTGAGTTAGGCTATCCGCTATCTGACACTTTAGCCTACAATCATGATGTTATAAAAAGCAAATGTGTCATCAAGATCTTTTGAAGGCACACAATTGCATAGTGATCACTGAGCTTCAGGTTTCCATATTATAAATTTGTAATGACTAATAAATCAACTTTATTGAGAAGTTTATTATTTTGTCAAGAGTCTAGTACAATAGCGGAATTTTCTCAGGAATGTCTTAAAACTCTTACTCTTAATGAATTACATCCATAACTTTAACAGCGTAGAAAAAATCAGGAAAATAAAATATAAATAAATTACAGGCAAAGAATAAATTGGAACACGAAACAATTTGAAATCACTTACCCAATGACCCCATGTTTTATTTTCTTTGCCGACACTTTGAATTTGTTGACATCGAAATCGATATAACGGACAGAATTCTATTCCGCATTAATAATTTCTTAAATGTTTTACCTGCTCATGCAGGGACGACTAGAAATTATCATTTTTAATAATTTACATAGTTTTGTTATCAGAATAATCAAATTATAGATTGTGTATAATAATTTTCATTTAGATGAACGGATATGCTCGTGGAGCGAAACAGCAGAAAAAGCCATTGACAACGCCTGCTAAGAGGATCGATCTTGCATTTGTAATTAATTTTCAATACAGAACGATTGAAGTATAAATGCGGAAAAACTTTCAAATGTAAATCCAAATTAAGGTTAAGAGTTGCTTATTCGATTATAGTTGAAGGTCAAGGTGCGGACAATTTTACGGCCGGACTCGAGGCCGGTCTCTAAATTCAGTGAGCAAGGAATATCTCCCAAAGTAATGAACGTAACTCGATTAAACTATTCATTTAGACCTAACGGTGATGTTTAGCTCGTGAAAATTTTTCAAATTTCGACATCATTCGTGAGTTATAACTTATATGACGATGCGTGCCGAAATTTGCAGTGAACAAGACATTTCAAATTTTCCGAGGCGTTGGGGACAAGCTATGTATAACCGTGACCTGTAATAAAGTTATTTTGTCTTGATACCAGAAATTTTTTGGAATTTCATTAGGTTTTTTGCAATTCATAATTATAACAAGAAACTCCTTGGAAAAAACCTCGGTTTCAAAATTAACTAAGATCCACAACAAATCTACGGTCACAAAAACGAGAATTTAATTTACTTCTGCTGATCACAAATTATTGAATATGATGCAGACGTGCGTTCAAAAAAGAAGCTTATGATAATGAGATGTGCATACATATTAATCTCACAGGTAAATACTTTCACACAAATTTCTGCCTGAATATACTTTGAAATGGAATGTCGTAAAATAAAACCAAGCATTTAAAAGTCAAGGAAACTCCGAGTAAATTTACCATACCATGGAAAACAGTGAATTTATTTGTAAAATTCTTGGTTGACTAAAAATACAGCAAATAAATTAAAAACTATAGTTGGACAATAAAAATAAAAATAGTTGGACTCGCCTTTCATTCTTTCGTCTGTTCACTGGGTGGCCCAGTGGTGACAGTTCAGAGTATACCAGAATTGGAGCAGAGAGGCGCGGGTTCGATCCCAGCTCTGTGATACAGTTTCTGGTGAGAATCGGCGAAGAGGCCGGGCGGTTAAGCACAGCAGAATTTAAGCAGTGAGTTGCGAGTTCGAAACCGATACAAGCTGTGGATGTTCTGATATGTTAAGAATCGGCGACGGCCTAATAAACGCTGAAACCGCTATATTATTATTATAGAAAATATCAGACAAAGGGAAAAAGATTTGCATACTCAGTATGGTGGTTAATAATTCAGAAGCAGTCACTCCTGAAACGCAAATAAATAATATCTCCAATAGTCATACTGGCGTCGGTATATGGAACCTTCATCAGTTCTAACATAAGTCATAACTGTAATTCATGTAGCTACAATCCAGAAGAAATGAAAAAATTACCTTAGGCAAACGAAAAAGGTTTTCAAATAACACAACGTTAGCTTTCAGCTGTTCCTTTGGCGTACCTCGTGATCATTATTATAATCGTGAAAATCTGATCATTATTCCATCGTTCCTACAGATGGCGAGGCATTTCATTCAGATGTAGTCTCAAAATATAGAGGGTAAAATTGACAGACTCGGTAATATGATATTATTTATTTTTTATTATTAGTCACAGCAAAAGTTATTGGACAATATGTAGTTATCAGACTACCGAGCCAATAATGTGATTGAAAAAGTACATTATTTTTCGGCCGGCTCTCCTGTCCATACTCAATTGCACGAGCAGGTTATCAAATAACATATACAAGAATATACGAATAACTTACGTACCTATTGATTAAGTAATATAAATAGAGATCATGGTAACAATATTTATTAATGACGAATAAGTGTGAGCATAATGGACGGATACTGATGCCGTGCTCTCAATTGTGGAAGGTATCGGTGCAGCGGCACCAATCCTAACCTCAGCAGCAACACCAATCAGGGTAGGAGTGTTCAAAGCACGGAATTCTCTGGGTAACTCTAAGACTAGCAATATTATTGAGAATTAAATCAGTTTAGCCTGAAATATTCACCAACCGAAAGAGCCGAGACATAGCAACAGTAAAAAATTAAACAGTATCGATGCTGAAATTTTTGCAGATTAAACTATAAATTTTTATGGTAAGAACACATCCTTGATTAGAGCAGTGAATTGTTAATAATTACTGCAGGGTCGCACATTTTACAGTAATTTTTTGCTTCAAGGTTATGAATGCATAAATGATCTTGTGGAATATTAGCAGCAATGTGATTAGTTCGAACAAATTAGTTTAGAGATCAGTTGAGGGACTTGAGGAGGTCGTTGATGGCCGACATGTTGCGCTGGAGCCGCTCCTGCTCACGACGTTTCAATGCCGAGTCATCCAATGATATCACTGCGCTGTCTTTGCTCTTGGCTGCGCAGAATAATAACAAGATAAAACTATGTATAAGATAAACTCTTTAAATTATTGCAATTTAATTTTATGATCGAACATTGCCTTTGTGGATGACCCAATATAAGCTGCCTAAAATCGACGAACCGACTACCGACCATCAGGATTATATTTCCTTTCGTTGAAATTTATCAAGTCATGTCGCTAGCAAACTTTCCAAATGCCCTTAATTTTCCTCTTCTTATAGAACCAGCAGCTTACTATAGCAACTAACTGCATTTACACTTGAAATACTTATCAGCTACAGATGAAAGTTTCATATGGTCCTTATACTCCTACTCAGTACTTAAGAATGAAGCAGCATACCTCTAGGCTTAAGCCGCAGCCTCACTTCTCGCGGGGACGGCGAAGGAAAGCACTTCTGGACGTTGCTGCCGCGCACCACGAACACTTCGGCAGCCTCGCTGGCCGGCGCGTCGTGGGGGCGCGCCAGCTCACTGCTGCCCGTCACATCAGTCGGTCGTCAACAGAAAAAAATGGATTTCATTCAATGTCATGGGAGCTGTACATTGAAATTAGAGATTGGTGAAAATATGTTATTATTAGCGGCTACGTAAAATCAATATTGTTTGAATTGAGCAACAGGTTTTTATATGATAAAGTAACTTTAGGGGGACCTTGAAATACGAGAAACAAACTAACCTAACTAAGAGTCAAATTCATTGCGTGTTCAGTTCAAAATAAATCGAAATTAGCATGGAATGCATCATAATAGAATTTAGACACATTCAGATCACGCCACTCCGGCAGTTAAAAAGCCATCTAACCCTACCTTTTCTTAGAGTTCTTTCTGCCATAGAAATGCTGTAGATCGGCTATCATATCTGTTGTACGTTGTGGCATCACCGAAGTTTCTCCGACAACTTGCGAGGGAAAATCTCCTAAGCTGACGCCGCTGCTGTAACTGCGCGCACTCGTGCCGCGAGAGCTGCACCGGGTGCTAACGGCACTGACAGCTCGTCCTGAGCCACTCAAGGCGCTGACCGCTCGCTCTGAACCGCCCAGGATACTAGTAGCCCTCTCTATGAACTGCTCCCGAACTGACTTTTTCCTTTCCTTGGACTTCGTTCCATCTTCATCTACAACATTTTCACAGGCGGTTGAAATTTTCGACGTGATATTATGTCTTCGTGCACCCAATTGCAGATCATTCAGTGAACGCTTAATGAAGAGACGAGAGGGAATCGTTTCAACTTGCTCTGGAGGAAGTAATTTATAACTTTTGGAAGAACTATCCATCGTTCTAGACAGAGAGTAGCTTCTGATTTTCTGATTTGCCATGCGAGTACGATGATCGTCGAGAAGCTCGTTGGAAGCAGATTCTGCAGCTTGACGCGGTCTGCGGCCGTATTTTCGCGATTCAGATGATAACTTTGGGTGCTGTCTATTGCTGCTAGCCTTCAAATTAACGACTGCCGTATTGGTCTCTCTAAAAGCTTCTCGAGGAACTGATCCGCTGGCAAATGGACGACTGCGACGTTTCTCTGGAAAGTAAAAATAATATTCAATAACAAAATCAAGATTTATGTATGAATGTGACTTTAATGCATCACAATAGACTTGACATGTTTAAGATATTCGCGGTGACAACTTTCAAAAAAATGCAAATATCAAAATTCATTTATTGATATAAGGGAAATTTGTGTTTAGTTTCCGAATTAGGGAACTTCTATACTTGCAACACGCAGATAATAAACATTGTTATACCTTACGGCAGTTGCGTATTCTTGCTTTGCGCTTACCTTCCGCTGCCTGCTTACGCAGTATGTAATGTTCCGCTTCATGTTTATGAGATATGTAATTATTTTCACGGATTTCACGAACGGTTGATGACTCTGACAATTCACTGTTGCAAGATTTGCTTTCATCCCCATTTCCGACTTGCACAAGCAGTCTGAGTTGTCTGGAAGCCATTACTCGTACGTCTGGCGGTTGCCTGCCAGCAATTACCTGGACAGTAACCTGATTTGTCCCAGCGTCATCTTCAGAGCCATGGCTCATGAAAACCTGTGGTTTTGGGGTACGAGGATTCGAAGAACAGCCATGTTTAGTGTGAGCATGATACATCGGAAGAGATGCCAGAAGTCTGTCCAAGGAGCTGAGGGTGGCAGGCTTGTGCTGGTGCTCTGGAGTGTCGATGCTGAACCCTCGAGACCTCTGACGTCGGATTCTTCTTCTCTCCAAAGCCTTGATGAGTCGCATTGACACCTCTGAAGGTTCACTATGCTTCTCGTATTCTTCCGGCAGACTCTTATCGCTGGCTGACTGTTCTCTGTAATTTTCGTCTCCGTCTTGGCTATTGTGTGATCCAGGTTGGTTATTAGAAGTTTCGAGGGGCGATGAAGAAGATAGAAAGCTCTCGGTCGGAGAAGGGAGCTCCTCGAAAGAAGCAGGAAGAACAGGTTGACACGGTTCCCACAACCTTCTCATTTCATCATGATCTTCATCAACATGATGATCAGAATTTATATTTTGATCATTTTTGTAATCAATGTTCTCAATATCATCATCGCTTACAGCTTCCATTATATCTTTGGGTAGAGTGGACTGAACCCACAAATACGTAGACCTGTGGCCACTTCTTATTCGATCTAAATTTTCTTTCTTAGATTTGGCGGACTGTGGACGAGACGGTAGTTTGTTAGTATCGGGAGTAGTTGCACGACTTTTAACAGAGAGAACCGCATCAGAGAGCTCAGAGCTAATAGAAGACGGATTCATTTCGACTTTTTGATCTTCCGAAGCACTAGCGCTACCAGTGTACTGCTTGATATCAGTTGGAGCTGGCATCTCCATTACGCCCGAGTCAGTAGATGGTGAAGAGGTTGGGATTTTTGCCGCACCTGGACTGCCAGTGGAAGAATCACCATCCTGACTGGATTCTTCGCATCCTGGTTCTGGAGAATGCGGAGACTCTGGCCCCGACGAACGTAACGAAAGCGGCGATACTTCAGCAGCGAACACTCTCTCTTGAGAGTGCCCTTTGGAAACGGAAACTCGGGTAGGTAATGCAACGTGCAAAGATGATGCAGGTATCGATTTAGTTGAATGTCCGGCATCTGTAAGATTTTCATTCCCACAAGTTTTCGATTCAACCTTTATGCAAGGAACATATTTTTGAGAGACATCTTCAGTCACAGATTCACAGTTGTCAATGCTATCTGAAAACTGGGGAGTTTTGAACACTTCTGAATAAAACCAGGGTTTACTTCCTTCATCTTCTTCTCGCTTGAATGAATTTTTTTCTAAATCAGAAGAAGAGTTATTTGAATGAGGAAGCGTTTCATTCTCATCATTCCCGATTTCATTTCCATCTTTAGGCGAGTTATTCCTCGTACGGTCACTACTGGCCGAAAGGTCACCTCGCAAAGTACAAACTAATCTTTGATCAACTTCATAATTTGTGCCAAAGATGAACTTTTTTTCAAAACCAAACGCAGTAGAATCAACTTCCAAATTGGACGTTAACTGAGAACTTTCAACACCATGAGCATTGCCCCCGTCTTCTATCTCATCAACAGCTTCAGTTTTCACCTCATTCAAAGCTCTAGCTTCCATCTCATCATCAGCTTCAGCTTCCACCTCATCAGCGGCTTCAGCTTCCACCTCATCAGCGGCTTCAGCTTCTTCCACCTCATCTGCAGCTTCAGCTTCCACCTCATCAGCAGCGTAAGCTCCCACCTCATCAACGGATTCAGCTTCCTCCTCATAAACGGCTTTAGCTTCCACCTCGTCGACGGCTTCAGCTTTCACCTCATCAACGGCTTTAGCTTCTACCTCATTAGCAGCTTCGGCATCCACTTCGTGAACAGCTTCAGCTTCCACCTCATCATCAGCTTCAGCTTCCACCTCATCAACGTCTTTAGTTTCCACATCATCGGCGGCTTCAGGTTCATTCTCAGCATCGTTTTCGGCTTCCAGGTCAACGTTGGATCTGATTTCAAACTCAGCGTTCGCCCGGACTTCCAACTTTGCGTTGGTTCTGATTTCAACCTCTGAATCGGCTGTAGCTTCTACCTTAGCTTCTGCTTCGGCTTCCACCACAGCATTGGTTTCGGCTGCCACCACAGCATTGGTTTCGGCTGCCACCACAGCATTGTCTTCGGCTGCCACCACAGCATTGTCTTCGGCTGCCACCACAGCATTGTCTTCGGCTGCCACCACAGCATTGTCTTCGGCTTTCATCTCTGTATCCGCTTCGGCTTCCAACTCCGCATCAGTTTCGGCTCCCACCTCTGAGTCGACTTTGACTTCAATTGCGGTATCGGCATCTGCTTCTAAATGTTCTTCAGGTTCGGATTCAACAGCAAAATCCATTTCGTTTTCTACCCCAGTTTCGGCTCTTACCGATTCATCTACTTTCTCTTCTGCCTCGGTATCACATGCTTCTTGTGAACTAGCATCGGGAGTGTCTGATACCACTTCCTGGTCTCCATTTATAACGACAGCTTCAACATGGGTTTCCACAAATAAATCGGATTTGCCTTTTACTGTAGCATTAGCAGCAATAATTTCTACTTTGGAATAGCCATCTGCTACGGTGGTACGCGACGAAAGAGCCTCTGTTCCCTTCACAGAATAATTTTCAGCCTTCACCGTGGAATTCTCTCCATCGTAAGAATATGCATCTTTTGGTTCCGAGATATTGACTTTTATGTCGCCAACAGTATCGTTTACAGCTGTATCAACTTTGGCTAGAATATCTTCGGATCCATAGGTACTAAGTAGCGAATTTACATTGGTCTCAATTTTTGCGCTGAAATCATTGTTGGACTCAGCAAAATCGTTCAAATCGTCATCTACAGCAGATTGTATACTAACTGCATCGGAATCGTGATAAGCGTTTTCTTCGGGGTCCCCCTCTGGATCATCTGTTAGAATTGCTGAACTAAGAAGATTGTCTTCAATTTCGTTTTCACACGTTTCGGCACAATTCACACGTTTGCTCGTTTCATCACTATATAGCTTTTCGTTCTTGATGCCCATAACCTGGCCCTCAGGCTCGCTGTTTTTTTCTTCTGCATCAAATTTTTCCTCACTTTCCATAGTGGTGTTTTCCAACGTACGAGAGCCGTCAGACTGAGCATTAGAGCTGCGAGCACTACCGCTAGGTTCAGCCTCTTCTTCTATTGTGGATAACAAAGAGCTCACAGAATCGTCAGTGGAGGTAACTGAATCGTCTAAGCCTAACAAACTGTCATTTAACAAATGATCCGGGAAGAAATTATCATCAGAATGGTAAACTTCGTTTACGCCGTTGACAGTTCGATTGGTAGCTTCATTTTTCTCTATGGTTTTAAGAAAGGATTCTTTCTCGGTAACATTCTCGACCTGGGAAGCATTTTCACGCTTGTCCTCCAGACTATTACATGTATTATTTAAGGGAAGAATTTTATGCCCTCTATCATCCTCTTTTGAACTCGAAAATTCATTAGGAGTGAAGTAGGCAGACGCACACGAGCCGTTTTCATAGAATGTATCTCCTGGATGGTCGGAACTTCTTAGATTTGATTTGTCTGTTTGCAAGGAAGCTAAGACAAGATCAGTTTCTCCGTCCGCGTGAATACATTGTTTATCAGTGGACATATCGACCTTTTTAGGAGTCATCTTGATCATTTCGTTCACAGTAGCTTTACCATTTGTAGTTTCTAAATCCAAGCCATCACGTTTTTCACCGCTAAAGATGCTCTCCAGTGGGGTGGTTTTGTTCGTCAAAGGCACGCACGTACCTTCAGATAATTCAGAGGTCGTCTCTCGAGCAATGTCATCGACAGGACTATCCATGTCAAAACTTCTGCTATTCCTGCTACTTCTACCTGCAGCAATCACTGTAATGCGTCCGGAAGACTCAGTACAAACGCTCCCATCATCTGTTTCCATTTCATAACCATCTTCCCGAGAACTTAGAGACTTGGGAGGCGATCCGAAATCTTGGATGCTCACATCATCATCTGTCATCAGTTTTACGAAGTTAAAGTTTCCCGACGTACTTTCGTTCCATGTTTTTCTAGCTGATTCGGACTTGTCATTTCTGAGTATAATTGGTGACTGTAGATTTCCAGTAGCCTTGTTAGCATTCTTGGAATCCTCCACCAATTGTTTGCAGGAATTAATCAAGTCCTGAGAAGCCTGATGGTTGTACGAATGAAAGGCCGTAGAAGCGTCTCCTTCTCGTTCTATTACGAGAATCTCGTCCTCAGAATCACTTTCAGACTCGCCGCATTCATTATACATGTGGAGAAAATTTGATTCCTGTAATTTCATACTGGAAGACTCGCGATGCGTTTTATCGTTTCTTATATTTTCCGACGATACCCCACCGCCATCAAGAGAACTCAAACGAGTTATTTCTGAACTCGAAGAAGAACTTTTATTTGCCACAGAGGCATCTTTAGATATTAAGCTCTCAGTCTCTTCATCGTTACCAGAAGGATACATGACACCGAGTGTAGATACTTCCCCTACACTCGTCAGGCTTTGATCTGAAAATTTCCTAGTGGCACTCGTAGATCTTGAAGGAGATGCACTGGTAATGGCAGGAAGTGAATTTTTACGAGAAAATGAAGGACTCTCCAAACTTTTAGCGCTGCCAGTCCGACTCCTGGTGAGCGGAACAGGTGGTAATTCGTTTGATTTATTATCAGGCTGGAAGTCATTGAGTATTTCATTATCAAGAGTCTTGGGGAATGGAACAGAAAATTCTGTTATTAATTGGCGGGAAAATTTTTGATTATTTCTTATTTTTCGTTCTTTTTGTCTTTGAAAATTACTAAGTCTTTCACTGAGGCGTGGAGGTAGTTTCACACGTGGGTTATCCTCATATTCATTCTCGCTATCAACGCTAACGAAAAAAACCTTATTCGACAGATGTTTGTCATCGCTCACTTCATCTTCTTCCAAGCTGTCATAATAGTTACTGTCATTATCATTTACCTGTGTCGACGAACTTCGATCCAATCCATGGCCCAAAGTCAGTTGTTGCTCATCAGTCTGAACAGACGCGTCTGTAGTTGAACATTTGAATATTTGACATCTCATGCTACGAACACTGGAATGTTTAGAAATCCATTCTTTCCTGTAAGTTTCTTTTTCTAATTCATGAGCGTTTTTGCCATTAGTGAATTTACTAGGACCTAATTTATCTAATAATGGGCTTGAATTGAATACTTTTTCTGTGTCATTTTGTAGAACTCGGGCTAATTGATGACTCCATTTCTCTTTCTCTGGCGAATCTTCTCTACATAATTGACTTGTAGCGTTGATTCGTTCAGAAGACGATAGTGACAACGATGTCGGAACTATTATAAGATTATTTGTATCCTCAAGATTACTTAGGATAGATATTGTTTCATAAACAACAGCTGAGCTCACACACTTGAACTCTTTGAGGTCTGGCATGGACCGTCTCCGATTGAGTTTCGGTTTTTCCACGAGAAGAAGCCTAGAGTCTGGGACCGGTAAATACTCCATCTTGGATCGTCGGCGTCTCAATACCGAAGAGTCTGTGATACGAAAACTTTCACGCAAAGCTTCAGTCGTGCCTGATTTGACGGGAATGTCACGCGAAATTAGCGAGCGTTTCAGTCGTTCATTCCTAAACTGTTGGAGACTACGTAGTTCTTCTAATGAACGTGTTGGATAAGGTTTCTGATTCTCCCTTATGACCGATGCAGTTTCACAATGCGAATTATCTACCGAAGATTTATTATCTTCAGCTTTAACGGAGCGGCATAGTCGATAGATGCGGCCATCAGGAGTTCGACCGGGAGGGAAGACTTGGCGATGAGCAAATTTCCTTTGAGTAAAACGCGATTCCAGACTAGGCTTGCTCGCCGATGCTAACCTAGAAAAAAAATGAGAGTAAAGCGGATATTTACATTTATTTATAGGCGTTGAAATAGCTTCCAATAATGAATAAATATAAATATGATTTACTATTCAAGGTCACATTTGGTCTCGAACGCTCGAATTTCAACCAGCACTCAACCTTGTCGAAACAATACCTTTAAAGCCAATCTTGACCTAGCCTGTGGACAAAAAAATACGTTTTCAGTATCTAATTCATTTTGTGACTTATTTATATAAAATAAATACTGAAATAAAGTTTTGATCAAGTAAACATGTCATACCGATGAGTTACTACTAACAGTGGAGTAGAGCGGCTCTTAGCCACCGCATTGCTGACTAGCCGTTGCCTGGCTGAGAGATCTTCGGTTGAAACAGACTCCCTGCTACCGCTGCTGTCTTCGCCAGGTAAACTCACACCTTCCGCGCTTGTTGGTGAGCGAAACAGGTTAGGAACAGACTTGCTGATGCTCGAGTCCTTTCCCTCAGATGATAGTCGAGGCGACTGCGGTGATGGCGAAGAGCTGTTCGAATAATTATCAGTCTCAGGTAAGTGAGTTGGATTGAAGTAATTCAAGCAATTAATGAAGAAAAAATGTTGACGGTTCGATCACTGTATTTTTTCGAAATTTGATCAGTATTTTAGCATGTTTTTGAATGACGGTACTCATGATGAACCGATTTTCGTCGAAATTTAAGAAATTACTTGTACATTCTCACCGCTTTTTGGCGTATTTCTGAATGGGCTCCCTGAGGAATTTCTCAGTAATGAAGTTCCTACGTTGCCGCCTCTCGGACAGCACTCTGGCTCGTCGCTGGCGCTCGTCGAGTTCGGCTCGATGCAACTGCTCCCGTTTTTGTCTGAAATTATTTCACAATAATATATTTTTAACAAGATTTTATAATCTAATAACTTTAAATACTAAATGTACAATATAACCAGAGTATTTGTCGACCTTCAAAAATGATGAACTCCGATTCGAGTGTTTTCGTCAGCGTTACTCACTCGTCTCTACGCTTGGAGTTCCGAGAAAGAAAACGGATGCGTGTCAAGTAGTCTTTAGAGTCCGCGTCGTTACTTGAAATTCGCTCTCTGATTGCTTCGGATTGCGAATCCGTTTCTATATATTTGTTGCAGCTTTTGGTACCAACACTAAGGCTGGATGTACCGCTAATAGAATTATGGCTGCTACTAGGACCGTAATGCTTTCGATTATTGAGTGGACTCGTGCTGTTTATGACTGTCGATTTTCGCAGAGTATCTTTGTAGGTGTTCCTCGAAACATCATCGCAGCTTTTGAACACGACTGAATCTCCCTGCCGAGGGAGGAAGTTGTTAGTAAAATTTTCTCCTTCAATGTTTGAATGTTTTTCTTGACATTCGATCGGGCTTAGTATATCTGAAGCCTCCGTAACATGCGGCGCATCTTGTATGGCACGGCAATGCACCGTGCGAATTGAGCGAGTTGCTATCCGAGATTTGTGATCTGATTTTGCATTGGACTTACAAGGGTGTGTAGTGTTTATGTGGTTGATGTCAATATTGTTAATATTTGAAATGTAGCTAGATAATTTAGCATCACATCGAGTTGCATTAATTCTGGAATTGCTTCTAGACTGTTCAGGCTCAGGAACGTAAGCATTTTCAGCGAATTGGCAGTTTTTTATTTGTTTCCGACGAAGAAAAGGTGACTTTATGTCTTGCTTTGGGTTTGGTATGCAAGCAATCGTAGATTTATCTACTGGACAGTCATACGTTGGATGACTCGAAAGAATTTTACGTCGTTGATCTTCGGATGAAGTGGCCAATCTTGAGGAAGATAAAGTTTGAGAATTTTTATAATGATGACAATAAACGCAAGCCGATTTATTTATTTCATTAACACACACGTTAAGATCGGGATTCAATTGGTTTAGTAAAGATCTTGCGTCACGAGCGAGTGTTAGGTGTCCAAAACTGTCAGAACTTTGGGCCTCATTTACTGACAGTTTAAACTTGGAAAATTCTTCTTGAATGTTCAGAGATTTGGGTTCTGAGTTATTTGAAGACAATTTTTTCGCAGTTAAACTATTGTAATCAGACGCGGAAGGCTTCGTTGATTCATCACCACTGGTGGATGGGTGATGATAGTAGTAACAACTTCTCTTGTGTTCAAATTTATTCTCAATCGTATGACTTTGATGGCGCAACTTGGCACAATCCGAAGGTGGGGGATGAGGTTGGCTACTAACCAGCCTAAATCTGCTAGTGGTGGGGACAACAGGAACATTGGCAGAAGCACTGGACGTTGGAATTTCAGATTTTGAAAGTGAAAATAGACTTTGCGAATCACTTTCCTGCAAGATAGGAGATGGTAAGCCGAGTTTGGCAGCACCGGAAACGACGTTCCGAGTCTCACTTGGCGAAATTTTACTCTGCGTCGATGCACGAGTCGTGGTTTCTTCAACAGAGGTGAAAACGACGCTCTTTTCTGGAGTTGGGACGGCTGAGGGGCTTATACCAAAGCTGGTAGAGACAGAGAGTGATATTAGTTTTGAGTTCTGCGATGACCGGTAGTTGACAGTTTTTGTCCAGGTATTTTCAGAGCTTTTGTTGACGAGCGACGGTGTTTTCTCTGTACTCAGTGTTGCATCGGGACTTCCGCTTACAATATCGGATAGGGACTTCGGTACTGCAGCTTCGGTGTTGCGGGGTTGTAGAGATGTAAAATATCCTGAGTCTTGTTCTTGGGTTACGACATAAGATCCTGACGCTGAATGACGACGTGCATTAGTCCTGTAAAATAAAGTAAATAGGTTAAACAAAATGACAACATATTTACATTAGAAAAAGACAGAAACCACTCAATAAATCGCAAAATTATTGAATTTTTGTATTATTAGGTTTTCAGTTCTAAATACCCTGTCAACGATTATACACAACGCCAGGCAGGAACACTGGGACGCGAACGGTTCGTAATTGTTCGTGAGCTGTTCGTAATTACTGTGATATTTCAAGCCTTATCATACGAAGGAACAAGTATTCATGTAGATGCTGACACATTCTAGTTATTGCTTTGATAAAAAGTTGATGGGTTTAGTAGGTGAGCTGCAGAATTTATTTGTTTGGATAAAGTGCGCAAAAATCTTGGAAGGGGGATAACATTTGTTTGGGAATATATGTTTTTACATAAACATGAATGCACAAGGCTGAATCAAAGGTAAACCAAGGAACGGAAAACCTTAATCTAAAAAGTTCACGAGGACTTTGAGCTCACTATACTGCACTGAATGAGTAATGTTCACACAATTAATATTATCAAATTAAAGGCCCGATATATCTTATGCGTAGCATCAAATAACAAGGAATGCTGGTGTCAAGCACAAATATACTTAAAATAAATCACTTTCGATGGTACTCCACATCGATTAAATGAAATGAAAACATAATAGGAATTCTACTCGTGCACAACTTCAAAGGTATCAGGAGGTCTGGAGTTCTTGTGCAAGCCAGTACATTTAAACAACATTTATTCATAGAAATATAAGTAACAATTTATAAACATAAATCTAACTAAATTAATAATTAGACATCACTATATATACATTTTATTTTAACATCAATTCTGCATTTTATTCATCTGAAATAATAATAATTTTATATAAACATAAATAAAGCCTCTGAAGTAAATGGAAGTCTTGGGGGGATTTTTCACTAGCAATGGAGTTACACAAAATTATAACGAAATTTGCATGCAACTTACGAACATTACGAAATGATTAAATTTTACTCAAAAAATTTTCCCTTAAATTTGATTTCTTCTATTACTATCCATAAGCACCGAAATCTCAAGTTTTACTGATAATTAAAGAAAATGAATGGAAAATACCGGAATTTGGTTACGACTTTAACTCCATCTATGCGATTACTTTATCGTTGCTATAATTTTGATAAATGAAACGTAAAACCGGTTACAACTTTCGAAATTTCTCGACTGAAATATACCATCAAGCGAACGAAAATTAATATAAGGAAAGACTGTGCTTATACTTGTCCCTTTTCCAAACACTACTTCTAAAATGTTAGAAAATAAAAAGATATATCAACAATTGTTTTTAAGAAAAAATCCAAAACTTTTAAAATTAGGATCATACGAGTCCAGCCTTCAAGATACGTGTTGAGCGGTTGAGGAGCGGTGTAAATAAGCATGGCTGTAAAAATACTCATCATCCCTCACGTGGTCGAGTGATCTACTCCGAGGGAACAAGTTTCCGACGTTTGGTCGACAGGAACCTGTCCAGCCCAGACCAGAGATGTCGAAGTTCCCGGTAAAGAACAAGGTGTTGTGTACGTTAGGTCCAAACACACATGAATGTTGTTGCGTATTACATTTTGACTGACTGATTTTTCATTGGTGTATCCAGCCTTTTCGGATTTGAGAAGACCGATCGCATCGTCCGAGTAGCAGGAAGATGCATATATTGTGGGACTCTGATTGAACTTTTGAGCATCGCAGCCAACTGTTGGTGTGACGTCAGCAGGTGCAAGACTCTCCGAGCAAGTAGAGATGACGATGGGCAGGCAAGAACTGGAAGCCGTAGAAGTGAAACCGATTGTAGGATCTGAACCTGGATGACGTCGCAGGGAAGTCATCCACGACACGGTGTCGGGCGAGGTCTGGCCGGTCGTGCTCAGCGGATACGGGCTTAGCCCACGCTTCAGCTTGAACCTTCAATACGGACGGACAATCGAATAAACTTACACCTTGAACCCAAAATTTATTGCATAAGATTAATTGATAAGCGATTGAAACAATACTTTGTAAACACATCTTTCACGTACAAAAAGATCAATCAACATTGCTTGATTTAATAGCACGAACTGGGAGAGTAGTTTTAAAATGAATTCATATTCAATAGGGTAACTTGCACGCAAATAAGAAAATGCTAAAATAAATATTACAGCACTAAATAAATATAATAGCAATTCTACGAGCGAGGAATAAAAAATTCCACTGTCTGCTTCGAATTTGACGGAACGGACCAGAAACTCACGAAAGTATTAACAATTAATAGTGAAGTCCTTGACATTTGTCGAGGAAAGGACAAGGTGGGCCGATTGACTGAACGAAAGAGCAGCCAGCTGATTACACTTCCAAGGCCGCACCTTAATCCATGCAATGCACATCTACAATTTGACCTCTGAAGCATAGGACCGAATGATACTTACTCATGATGAACTAAGACAGCGTGAAGTTGCATTCAGTTTGCAAAATACAATGTACCCACAGAAAACGAGCCAGAAAATTATTCAAATGGTCTGGCAGGCCTGCCGGAACGAACTAACAAAAATACATTCAAAGAAATTCGCGGAATGTAACGGGATCGCGTTTGGGTTTTAGTAGTCATGGTTGGAGGGATTTGCGATGTCGTCATTAATTTACAGGATGCCGTCTCCGCAACCATGGCGGAGTAGCGTCCGCCGTGGTCGTCCATAGCGTCCATGGTAGCGTCCACCTCATGGCCGTCCATGTGTAGCTTTGGCAAATGACGTTTTGTTCAGAGGAGACCTCAACCTAGCAAAGATTACACTTCAAATAAAGAAGCGGCAATATTCATCGAACAGACCCACTACCTCACATGTATGACCTCGTTCAGTACACTTTAATTTGCTACCACACCCTGCCTGCATGCGAATAGCGTGCGAAGGGTGTTTGTCCGCTCACATTAAAGAATTTTTAGTGCTTCATGCACTTAAAGTATAGTTGTTACATTATTTGACAGTTGACACTAACATTAATATTCATTAATATCTATGACCACTCATACACTTTTCATTAAAATGGCAAATCATGGCTGAATCGCGATTGACCAAAAATTTAGTACATGCTTTTAATTCAGTACACCTTTCTTCATTTGTATAGTTCGAGAAATACGACAGAAACATTAAATACATGAAAAGTTTATTCATGTCATGCAGACTATGATAATTTCTTAATTCTTACGAGGATAGCTATCAATATACGTCATAGACCATACGATCGCGTTATGTTAAGCCTTCCTAAA